GATTTCTCGCTTCAGAACCAGATTGAAACAACGCTGCTTGGGCAAGAGATTCTTCAGGGTGGGAGCTACAGCCAGGTATGTTTTTCTTATAATCGTCAAACCTGCCCCGACGCTGCCTTTAACAAGTTCATGAAATTGACAAAGGACTAATTATTCTTGAAGTGAATATTGTATTCGTAAGCAACATGCCCACTCAACCCCCACATTAATTCTCAGCTCCACGCTTCAAGTTTTCCAAAAATCTAAAAATCGCAATCAGCTGATATTGGATAGAAGCCTATGACACTCACCACGCTTAGAAGTGCATGTGTGCAAATTTTAGACCGGATCGGCTTCCCGATTTTCTGCAAAAAAATTAAAACATTGAGTTTTTTATGTGTAAACACGAAGAGTCGTGGGACCGCGCGGAAGTGCGAATCCCATATTGAGAAGCAAGTTCAATTGGCCAGTCTTAACGTTTTACTGCAAGGATGTGCGATTTCGTCATCATTGCTTTTGAAGGAATGAGTGTTTGATCTTATTCAATTCTCGTTGCAACCTTTATCCCAGTCTTCTTTAAACTTATTTCTATTTGCTTTTTTTTCCAAGATGGCGTGTCGAGCTAGTTAACATCGCTTTTTTGCCGCCCGCTTCTTAGACGGGATCATGCGCGAGGCTACTTCCATCTCTGCTCCTTTTTGAATTTCTCTCAAAAAATTTACAGTATCCGTGGAACATGGGCAGAAATTAGACAGCGAGCCGACACCCATCGCATCCAGCAGAGCATCGAGCCGATATCCATCCATTCGACACATCGCCCCACTCAGACAACTTTGAAGCAGGTCACTTCAGGGGGATGCACGAATAGCACAATGTCTCCTGTGCTTTCCACAGAATTACATGTAGTGGAGGGCCGGAGAGAAGTGGTGTTCTGAACTGTTAAGCTTACGCAATCGAATCTCAAATCGCTTGGTTCGGAGCTGAAGAGAAGGAGCGAATAATATCTCCGCGCAAGATTGGAACAGACTTTGCGACGTAAGCGGTTTCCGCTGCGTACCCCCGCCTTCAGCGTACGCCGCGCATGCTGCGAGATTCATTATATTGGTGATTTGGTCACTATACACTTGATTCCACAGGAATTTTCCTATACACTGCGGATAGAAGTGTCGCTCTCACTAACTTTGAGCAGCCCAACTGGCGCAGTCAGCGTTTGATACGACGAAATGAAGTTCTAAACAAACAGTGAAGCACAGTAAATGGGAGGATATCAAGCTTTGGATTGATATGGCCGCACCTCACCTATCTCGAGATAGGATAGGCTCTCTCGAGATATTGGACGATGGCGAATTTAGAACTCGCTTTCGTCTTAGCCGCACAGGAGCGGGAAGACTATCGCCGTCAACGACTAAGACGACAACGCTTAGCAGCTATGACAGCAATATTGTATTCCTCGAGCACATAAGACGCGCTAGTTCACAGGTATTATATATATATGACGTATTCATATAGAAAATGTGGCATATATGCCATCTTGAACATTTGGCGGATAAGGACGGTGTGGAGAGCAGGACCAGCCTTTAACACGCCCTCCAAAAGGTCATACGACGGGAATTCTAGATTACATAAGCGGGCGCCACTACCTATATCGAAGCGGATCTCACGTTCGGTGCCTCGCCGTATCTCACGTCACTTTTGTCTTCTTGTTGTTTTTTTTTGTTCTTTTTCTTCTATTGTGTTTTTAGTGAGTAGTAAAGTTGGGTTTTCGATACTTGTGTTCCTTGAACGGGCGGCTAAGGCCAGTGGATCTCTATCGGAGAGACCGAGGAGGGTACAGCGGTCAGATGGATCATGCATAACTCCTCTGTATCGCATTTCACCGGAAAGGAATTCACAGAAGAAGATAAAAGTTCATAAGGGGATTGAGTAATCCATGCCCTACAGTATCGGAAGACAGACAGTTCATGTCAACGAGTAAAATCTAGTTGACAGTAGAAGCACGTGATGAGGTACACAATTGGGAAGTATCTACTTAGCATAAATATGACAGCATTTGTGACTTTGTGAACTTTTCTTATAGGTAAATCGTAGTATAGTGTGCTCGCTGATAGTGCATAAAGCTCAGAATTTCAAATTACCCTATTTTCCGGAGTATAAGGCGCATTTTTATGCACCGCGCGCGAGCAGTTTCGCGACGACGCGGGCGATGTGCGACGCCGCAAAAGCAGCGGTACTAACTTTTTGTAACAGTTTTGTGCATTCCTCCTCTGTTAAATCTTTTGTGGCCATGAGTTGTTTGAAAAATCATTCTGCTCTATCTTTACTTCATCATATTTCGCTAAACAAAAATTTTACACCAAAACGCCCGCACTGTTATCATTTGAAACTCTCCGATATTTGTCACTGAGTTTGTTTATGTCTACATCTAGTCAAATTTTCGCTAAACTTTTCCGAAAGTCGAAGGTACTGACATCCTGACTCTGAAGCGCCCATTCAGCAAACTCCAGGTCAAGTAGACCATTGAAGTACAGCTCAACTTAAGCCCAAACCTAGGGCGCAACTTCCGCGTTAACGTTCAGCGCAGGTGCGCCTTATACATAGGTGAGTCTTATGCTCCGGAAAATAGGGTAACCCGTCTTTGAGGAGGACAGAACGGCAAGAGGTTAATGCCAAATCAACTTTGTGTCTTCAAATGCATAACCTATTCTAAAAGCACGCTACACGGAAGCACTGTGCAGGGGAATTTTCATTGAAAAAGCGTCCGGATCTCTCACTCTCGCCTCTAAAATAAGATAATACGGTTTGCATGCCGTTTGAGAAACTACTTCATAAAAACGCGAGAGCAGCTTTTGCTGAAAACGAAGCCAATTTACAGTAATACATTGAGGTTGGCGATACAAGGCGGACATCCTTGATGTGGAAGCCAAAATGCGTAAAGCCGTGGAAAAAATCAGCAAGCGGAAGCATGCGTTCTGAAGTGTTGTTTGTATGCCCAACGCAGGCAAAAATGATGCCTCACTCTCTCTCTCTCTCCCATCTCTCTCTCTCTCCCCCCATCTCTCTCTCTCCCCCATCTCTCTCTCTCTCTCTCTCTCTCTCTCTCTCTCTCTCTAACAAATTGTCGCCACCACTGCTGCTGCGCTTTACAAAGAATGATGAGCAAACGTTGCCATTTATGATGACGTAAACCAATAATTACGAATTGATATCCGTATTTCTTCAAAGGTGCCATGGACTTTTTTCAAGGCATCGCCCACCCAAGCCCAAGTTATGAGAATTTTATGCAATGCTCAGACGTGGGTGAACCGTGCCTGTCCAGAATACCCCCTGAAAATGTAAGCCACTGCTATCGTGCTTCAAAGGAGGTATTCGGTGAACGTGTTCATTCATAAGATCAAGTCCAGATTCGATTTTCCATATTATTGCTTAAACTAGCTGGCTTACCCGGCTCCGCCCGGTTCTGTCAAAACGATAAAGGTTCCATTCCTACCCCTGTGCAACCTTTTCCTGTGCCCGCTTTTGCTTGATATTCCCTATTCCCGCTATGTTGGGAATCAGTATGCAAACCTACCTTCCTCACCAACCTCTAGCCCCGTAACTCAAACTTCGCAAAAAAATCGATAAAATCGATAAAGCGGATGATTCCAAAAACTAATATGATATTCGTAATCAGCATGCTCGATTACTCCCCTGTGCCAACTCCCAGCCCCGTAGCTCAAATTTTGCAAAAAAATCGATAAAATCGATAAAACTAATGGACGATTCCGAAAACTAATATTGTATTCGGAACTATGCTCACTTACCCCCCTGTGCCAACTCCCAGCCCCGTAGGTGAACTCTGCAAAAAATCGATAAAATCGATATCGATCGATGACGAAAAGTGGCCTATGACACCCGCCGGGGCCCGATGTGTATGTGTGCCAAGTTTGGTCCGGATCGGTTCAGAAATAGGATTTTCTATTCGGAACGTACATACAGACAGACAGACAGACAGACATACAGACAGACAGGCAGACAGACAGACACACATCCAGCTTTATATATAAGATGTCTTAATAATAGTTCTCTCACGAGAAATTACTGTTGCCGAGGCTGCAGACAACAAATTCGACCATTTCAATTGACAGAACTGACAGAAATTGTATACAATGTTATAACTTCTCTAAAATAGTTCCGCGCGCAGCGAAGGCAGACTTGCAATCGCCATTTTGAAAAAGATTCTGGCATATACCAATATATATATATGTATATACCTATATATTATACCAAATGACCATGGTCTTACTTGTTAGTATCCTGTCTTGCTATGACGGAGGCTTTTCAGTCATTTTCACTGCTTGTCACTTCTTCATTATCTCTCAGCGGCAAAAGATCAATAAGATGAGCTCATCAAACACTGTAGTGGAGTGTTATCATCGTTAATGTTGTTGTCATAGTTGTTAGAATTGTTAAACAAATGTTTTAACGGGAAGTTTGGATTCACTTTTTGGCTTCTTGTATTTTTGGATGGATTTGCTACTATGTGATCTGTGTAATTTCAAATATGAGAGCTGCTTGCTGGACAATCTCTGAGTGATGAAAAAAGACGGAATATAAAGATTCTGATTAGATATCCTATTTCAGTTTCGATCCTCAGGACTTTTGCGTTTATAAAGATGTTAAGTGACTCGTTGTTGCCATTCAAAATTACCCATGACAGAATGTATTACTGTGAGTGAACACTCTGCTATCTGTAATATTTTTTTAGCTTAACTCCTTAGTTGGATCGAGGTTTGTAAAGCACAAGTGTTCGAATCAAAATCGCTAATTTAATGGAAAATCCCTACATTGAGCAACGGCGCACGCCGGTGAGGCGACAACATTTTTGTTGTTATCAACATTTCCGAACGCTGAGAGTTAGTCAGCTGCTGCTGTCAAGCAGTAAAGTTAGTCTAGTCAGTGGTTCAGGAAGAAGAGCCCGAATAATGTGGTGCGAACTGTACTTGCCCGAGAGTTGTGCAGATTGTGGAGTAAATTTATCTCACCTGATTTGCACCATATTGCCTTGAGAATCCAGTTCAATTACCGATTTCTCCAACGATGTGGAATATAGTGCACCGCTCGTGTTCTCACCCTCGATATAGTGGTGCTCGATCTAGAACATTTCCATTACAAAAAAAAAATTAGTTCATTCAGAAAGCAACCTTTCGCTTCGAGAGCATTTCAAACGCGCCCGGATTTGCCTTCTTCAATGAATCTGCGCAACGGAAACCATCGACCAGCAGAGTGTCACCTCCTTCTTCAGCAGGGTGAAGGCAGTGAAATACCTGAAGATGTAGAAATTCTACAAAGTCTGGTCAAAGTACACAGTCAAAAATTGACATGAATATTCTGCTATAGGGTCTTGGGATGAAGTCCAGGAAATCATTTGTCATAGAATTTGGTCAGCAGCTCCACTATGAAAGAGTAGGTTCTAATTTCTGGTCGAATGGTTAATATTTTCTTTACTCAAATTCGGATCCAAAATTCCATGATCCCCAAACCGAGAATGGGTCGCAAAATCTCAACAATTAGCCAACATTACGAAAATGCGAGCCGTTACTTGTAAATACAAAATAATTTTCGTATAAAAATTTATGAGAATTTGATTTAGGTTAGAAAAGTTTAGTGAAATTCTTTAGGCCTTTTTCTAGTAAAGTTTTGAAATTATAAACAGGCAAATTTTGAAAGCATCTCAATAAAACATTTTTCGGGCAGTGCCTAAGGTCACCCCTTTGCAAAAATTCTCTTGCCCCTCCTCCCGGGATGGGCAACAGAGTTTTTTCAGGACAGTTTCGTTCATAGTTTGTGAAACTCAATCCATAGGTTTTTCCACAACATTTTTAGTCCCTGTATTGTCCTCCTTTATAGTATTTCTAATAACAATAGCTCTCTTCACATAATAAGATGAATTTTATATTCGAACAATTAGGCTGGATATGGTGGACCCGTTTTGATGTAAGCACCTGTACACCCGGCGTTTGATTGAAATATGTCCCATCAGTATGTGGCCCTATCTCTTCGTTCCCGTACGCAGTATCCTCATGATATTCTTCCTAAATGTACAGCTGAACAATCTATTTTCGCAAACGCAATAATCAATGTCAAGTGCACGGGCAACCGGCACAAACACCTACCCCGTTCTCCTGTGTTTGATTGCTGAACACCCAAAAAGCACCAAAGAACGTATCATGGATGGGAGCGATTTTTTTGCAGAGAGCTTCGGTTGCTTCTGCTGTGGCTTCAACACCATCAACCATGACGAAGCCATATTTAACGAACATTTCAACAAATGACTTCATGTTGAGCGATGACCTAAATGACTCAAAATTGAGATATAAATGGAATCTCAAAAAAAAAACCCAGAAGTCTCACATTTCTAGGCGTGGTAACTCATCCGCGTTCAATTTCTTCCACAGGTTGATTCCTCTAGTTTCTGGCTTTTGGTCGAATAAAGCTGACTCGATGAGATCGTTGATGTGAAATTCTGACTCCAGTCCATCCTTCCAACGAACAGCCAGGGTTGTTCCGTCAGTGATATTAACACTTTGTGTGGTCTCATCAATTGTAGCTTTCTCCAGAATGTCCACAGCATTTGATTTCCTTTGTTTTGTTACTTCATTGTAATTGCGCGGATGGCGACAGTGATCTCTCAGCCAAACTAAGGGGATAATCAACGGTTTCCTTTGCTCTCCTGAAAACTTCTGGTACAGAATCGCAGAATTTTTGACGTAACTTATAATCATATGTTTCACAGCACGTTTTATATTTTTTCCCGGATTTTAAAGAGATCAAGACAATTAACTAAGTACTGGCGACAGTTCCCACATTATTCAGTCCCGTCATTGCTCTCAAATCATGTAAATCCACAGGTGACCGTATAGATTCATATTACATGGATTCGGTGCAGGTATACTGTAGATTGAAATATTCTTCGAACGCAAACAGTGTAGCAATGTTCACGATTTTCGCAAATCCTCTGGCAGAAAATTACATTCTTTTGTTTTCGAATTGCTGACTTTGATAAGTGTCTAGGGGGAAAATAATATTTTTACGTCATTGTTTCACGCCGTTTTCGAAAAAAAATTTCGCGGGCGACGATTTTCACTCAGGAGATAATCATTCGTATATCCCAGAAGAGATATGGACAAATCCCATCATTTCCAAACGTCTATCAAAAAATGATGATTGAATCTTGCGAATAAAGAGATAGTAAGGAGATTTGGTGTTATAAATGCAATGATTTCAGATATTGCCTAGAGTAACTAGATTCGGAAATAAAACGAAATTTTAGATTTCTTCACAATAACAAAAAATGTCATGTAAGCTGTCTGAAACGTGCTGTCATTTTGATCTCATATAGAGTGTTGTTGACAGTCGTTCATTTTGTGATCTCCCTGCTACAAAATTCACCACGCAATGATTGCACGCAAGCATTGAGGTGAACGGAGTTGGAAGTGAGGTGATAGATAACTCCGACTTTTTTGGAAATACAAAAGTGGTATTTTGAATTGTCCCAAAAACAAACCCTATTTGTATGAATCAGAATGTCCTCATTTTCCTGGCAACTTAGGGTTTTATTTGATAGAGCGAAGCACCTCCCATAAGATAGGACTGCTAATCGATTATTGATCGAAGGATTCAGCCGTGCTTTCGTCCATCTCACTTAATTGACGCCTACAAATGTATTGCACCCAGGTCATTGTTCTTTTTCATAAGCACTAAGTCTAAGATTATGTTTATTTGTTTATTTTTGTACTTTTGAGGGCTGTTGAATGCTTTTCAAGTTTTTGTTTTATTGGAGCCTGCTTGTCAAAGTTTCTGATGAACCACAATAACACATCTCTGAAGTTGACTTCGATCAAAACATCAAACCTCTTTGAATAATGAGCTCCAACGCGTCATTGTTTTTCTGCAACGTTCGTAGGATTCCTGTCACAATTTTCGGGGCTTTTTCTAGGTTCTTATGTTGACGAAGTGCGCCTTTAGCAATAGCTCCAAGAACACTCATCTGCAAAGTGATTGTTTATGAAAGTTCAAGAAGTTTTTTTGCAACGAAATGATTTAAAAAAGGGAGAAACTGCATTTTAAATGGATCAAAGAATGAGACGAGTTATAAGATGGTATGCGCAATATCTGGAAGTCTTGTCTGATAAGGTTAATGACCTAGTCTCTCGGGTCAGCTGGTACTATCGATCTTTGCGATCAAGTTCTTTGCACTTTGTAGTTTTGTTCTACTGCAATTCTCCGCTTTTCATTGACAGCAACCTCGATTTGAGCTTGTTATGTCCTAGCAGTATATCGACGTCTCTGTTTGTTGACGAGAATCGTTGTGTGCCTGGTTGTCTGCAGGCACCCTGCATGTGACGCTCTTCTCTAGCATCTAGCCGGTACAACGATTTCTCTTCGGTGAGTTTAGCAACTTCATCTTTATAACACGTTTTCATTTGCAGTAGTTTTGTCTCACTTTACTTACTTTGTCGTTTTATAATCCAGTTGGATAACGTTTGTTTGTTGCATTTACTCGAAGTTGGCTGTCAGCAGTAGGTTCATAATTGTTTCGAATGTTTCTGCTGCATGGAAACATATTTGAATTGATGATACTCCAAGATTCTCTCTAGGCAATGCGAGTTCCCATTTCATTAGATTCATTTGCCTCCCTCAGCAAAACCCGGGAGACAGTCAAGAGGCGCGATTTCTTCAGCTGTCACCAGTTCAAAACTCGAGTATAGCGCTAGCGAGTCTCAAAAAAGTACTAGATAAAGTGCATTGGCTTACTATCTGTCCGAGGTTACTACTTGCTGAGTTTGGTGGCTTTTGCTGGAAAACGGACCGAAAAATCTACGAATATGTTCTTAACTGCATTTTCATGTGTTTCCGACCTTCAAAATTGTTGTTTCAAAGTGTTTTCTAGGCAGCAAGATTAAGCAACTCGTGGAGCTATCTAATATATCTCCTTCTAAAACCAAAACACTTTTATAACATTACAAAACTCTTATTACGTGCTATTTGGTGTCCATCTGGCAATTAAAATCGCGCCTCACATACACCCGCAAAACCCGGCTTTTTGTTTCGGTCCTTTCTCACTGCGTTCCAGAATACTATTCGTGATGAATGACAGGTTAGAGAGCCGGTCCCGATCCTAAGTGAAACCAGTAAGGAACCTTTTACAAGGGAAGAGAAGCCGAAGTCATAGCTGTGTTTGAGATAAATTCAAACCAAAATCATTCAGTGATTTCGGATGTTTTTGCACTTGACGAGAATGCCACTACAGCAAGTGACATTCTCGTCAACTGCGAAAATACGCGGTAATTGATTTGTTGAAGTTTTATCAAAAATGGCTTTGGCTTTACTTTCCTTGTCACTGGTGCCTTTCCAGTTTCAGCCTAGATAAGGACCGCCTTGCTAAATTTCAAGCGCGGAAAAGCTACGGTTGATGCATACTAGCCAAATGACTGCAGATTTAGTAACTAATCTAAGCGTTGACTACCCTGATTAGGGTTTACAATGGATGGTCCCATTTTCTTGAGTTTATAGCTTATGAAAATTCGGGGTGATCATAACCGACTTTTACCACTCCAGAAGACTATGGAAATTCTTGATCTTGACTGCGCGAGTATGGCACCGCTCTAGAGTACCAAAATGGAATAATAAAAGCTCTGTCCAACTCAGAGCAAGAAGGGCTCCACAATTAACGTCGAAGATGGCGGCAAATCTTTTCAATCTGATTTTTATTTTATAAGCACTGGTTTATACTCTTTGTGTTTCAAATCTTGTCAATCTTTGCACAGATGACTGTCGATGGTTGCTGCGCAAGGCATCGTTCGAATTAGCAAATTAGCAGGTTTTGCCTGTTTTTTATCCGCTCATACATGACTTTCAGGTAACTTCAGAATGTTGGTTTGCCTCAGACATTTGCCGGCCCGTGCATACGTATGCCGGTCACGAATCGCTGTGTCAAGTAGAACATTTGCCGATAGAATATCCGACGCTTATAATAAGAATGTCCAGGTGCAGTTTAATTGCTGCTTATGTTTCTGGAAAAAAATTTTTTTCAAAGTTTATTACCGAGAATAATTGGGAGTTGCATTTTTTTGCTTCTTTGGATAGAACAGGTACTCGACAGTAGTTATAGCCAGGGTATATTCAGTGGTTATAGCCAGAGTACGATTTAGTTATAGCCAACTTAAGCTGGCTGGTCGACAGCTATTCAAAGCCTTTCTTAATATCAAAAGAGGATTTTGCTTCAGCCATGTTCATTGTGAAAATAAGACGAAAAATTCAGCTCCAGAGTATGTAATAAATAATTTCCAGACGGAGGAGAAGATTGCGAAGGATAACCAGAAGGAGTTCACAAGTAGAGTTCAATATGACGAACAAGTGAAAGCGCAGAGGACTAGACCTTCTGACGCCGGTGAGTGTAGAAATAACCTCGAGAGCATATTATTTCATTTATCCAGGAGCACCGGTCTTGTCGTAAGAAATCGTTCTTCAAAAATGAATGTTTTTTTTGTTTCAGAAATGACTGTATCGCCTACTTCATGGCAAAAGTACTTCTTGGTCGCTACAGGGTTGTTTCAGAGTCAAAAGGATGTACCGCACTCTGTTTCGTTAGTTCTCTTCTCGTATTATTCTAGGATTTTCTCTTAAAGATGGTTTTAGCTGGTAGATGACCATTTCATCTAGATAATTTATCACTAAAAATATCAAGTCTCATAAAAAACCATTTATTGAAACATCCACGCTCGTGTTTTATCCACCATTTTCCATATTTTGTCTGCAGTGAGTTTCTTTGCGAATCCTCCTAAAATTGAAAAACTTATGAAATAAAATTAAGTTATCGCAGTCGAGTATCATTTAATACACTCTGAAGAGTCTTATTACTCCCGGATCAATCTATAAATGAAAGGACTTGCACTAATCTCTTAACTTAGATCATTACTGAGTAAATATAGGGCAATCATAAAATCGTGACAATGGCGGCGGGCACGCGCGTCATTTATGTGATTTCGGCATTTTCGTGGCTTCCATCCTCACCTGAATTTCCGCATGCATGTAGCTATCAGTTTCGGGAAGTAAAGGAGGGAGAATTAGGATGCGTTTTTTTTTAGTTAAGGCTTTTGTAAAGTTTGATGGACGCGAAAGCCGTGTCGAACTCATCGTCACGATTTCATGAACACAGCATAGCTAGTTGCGGCCTGTTGGTATTTCCATGTCATATGCTTTTACAGAAACGCCACCATGAGTCGTATGCACCACAGACTGCGAGTGATCATGTTGTCGATGATCACACTCTGCTTTTTCGTCGTCGTCTGGTATTTCAAGAGCAATCATAACAACAGAGTTCTACGCGGTAGTGCTGCGAGCGCGTTGCCGATGCACAAGGAGTCCACTAAGTCGTAATCTTGTTACTTCATTCTGATTATCCTACCTCTTTCGATGTGTTCTTCTTAGGGGGTCGTCAGAGTATCCTAGTTACATGGACTTGGGTGGATGTGGTGTTGATGATGAGAGAGAGTCATACCTCAATCAAATTAGTCAATTTAACACAACGTTCGGCTGTTACAGCATGAGTTTCTTCTAAAATCGAAATCTAGTCTCTCCAGTTTCTCTTACAATCTCTTTTTCCATTTTGTTCCGATGCGAAGTTACGACTCTTATGTAGCATTTGATCGGGCTAGTCGGTCTTTCATTCTGTATATAGCTTATGTAAACTTGTATAGATAAGTAGCCCAACTTTGTTGATAAAAGCATATATAGCTTCGTTGATTTAATATTGTCATTACATGTACAGAATAAAAGCTCTTTATATCTTTCCTTATCATACGATTGTCTCGACATAACCAGATACCTCAAGAAATTGGCGTAATCTGCGTTTTCAATTCCGGAAATGCAGAACTTCGGTTAAAGTCCCATTGTCTAGTTCTTATGTACGTCTTGTTGCCAACCTCAAGCTAGCTTCTCCCTCCTAATTCCTCACGTCTTTGGAAGCGACTCATAAAACCATGCAGACAATCTGCTTTTACTTACATATCAGAAGCGACTCATAAAACCATGCAGACAATCTGCTTTTACTTACATATCAGAGCAAAATTATGAATTTCATGAAAATTTAAATTATTAGGTTGGCACATAAGTTTTGCAACTTTTCCCGTAACTTTTTCCTATTTTATGTAGCAATCTCATTTTGTGGCATCATGTAGATCGTGATGTAAGCTGCAAGTCTGCGCAAACCGTTTGATTTTTGATAACGTGGTACAAAAAATCTAAGCATTTTTGAAAACTGCTGAAAATGGAGGTTTCACGATTTTTTGGCAAACATGAAGCCCTACGAAACCTGATTCAAACACATGAAAAAGCAATTATAGGCAGCGTGTAGCTGGAAGTCGGCACATTGGAATCAGTGAAAAAGAAATGAAATTTAAACACAAATTAAGGTGGGGCGCCTTTGAGAAGTTGAACAAGTCAAATGCGTCAAGTTTTGAAGGCAATCTGTCAATAACTAATCTAAGTCAGAATTCGCTATAACTTTGCACTGTAGGGTAATCCTATGCGGTGAACACGAATATCACATTCATTTGTCGCTAAAATGAAATTCATCTTTTGATCTCACGAACGAGGCTTTTTCATGCGAAACGGTGATCAGCATGCCAAATAAGCCCTATAGGCCAAGTTTCAGCAAAATCTGATGCATTCTAAAAGATTTTCCATATTACCGTAAACCTACCGTAATCCTCACATAAGATGGTAAAATTCGGCAAAAATGTGTGCATTAGAAGCTTACATCATATTCCTTATATTGCCAAAAAATGAATGCGCTACGTTCAAATAGACAAAAGTTATATAAAAAGTTGCATTACTTATGTGCCAACCTAATACTTTTGTGAAGAACTTTCCAGGAGTAAAACTTCTGCCGAAAATCCGGCAAGATCCCAAAAAATTGAGGAAGGGCTTGCTTATGATCACCTTAGGCTAGGTTCATACTGATCCCTAAGTTCCAAAACAGTTTCTGCACAGTTCTCGCAAACTGTCCGGAGATGTTCCTGAACTTTGGGATCGGTACGGACCCAGCATTACTTCACTGGAGATGGAAAAACTGTGCTGTTGCCTCCTTCTCTCCCCCCCCCCCTTTGCAAAAGAAAAACTTTTGGGGTTGCAACTAGTAGTGACTACTAGCAGAAAGTCGCCTTTTTGTATTTGGTTTACTGGTTTGGCACCCGCCATACTTGATCCTCTTGATCCGCTTGATCCGCTTGTGCAAAACGCGCGTCACTGATTTGTCATTTGGCGTCGCGTACAGCGTATTTGCCGTAAGGTAGTTGCCAGAGTAAGCGAATATTTTGCTCAGCTTCGTTCAGCTGCAAAAGGCGCACAGAATTAGTGTCTGCTGCATAATCTCAACTGCTGCCAAGGCCTGCTTCAGCTGCAGGTCGCCCAGAATCAACGTTGATTCTATGCGCCTTTTGCAGCTGAACGAAGCTGAACAAAATATTCGCTTACTCTGGCACCTACCTAACCATATAAAATTAGTTTTTACCTACGCGGCGTCAAATGACAGACTGCTGTGTGCGCGCGTTTTGCACGAAGCGGATCAAGAGGATCAAGTATGGCAGGTGCCTTTTGCATCACTCTTGGCGTGTTATTGGACTTGGCGTGTAGCCAAAGAATATAATGAGAATCATACGGTAAAACGCTACTCTGAAATTTTCGACCATCACTAGCGGCCCAATGGCTAGCAGGTGTGAGAAATGTTGCATTGAGTCACCAAAGCGTCGTTTGACACTTTTTCAATGCCGTAAAAGCTAATAAACTTCATCTAGTGATGTTTGGATTGAAAAGTTCTGCTGGGAAGGCATTGTGCGCATATAGTTTTGATGACGAAAGTACGACTGCTTGCAGAAGAATGTTTGGAGTCAAGAAAGATGTCGCATTTATTGAAGCTCATTCTCCAGAATAGAAATGCACACCTTACAACTCGCGCTTTTTCTCTAGACTCTCCCGTACAGCATCCTTCACGTAGCTCTCTTTTCTGTGGCTTTTCTTAGCTGATGTATTGCACGTTCTTTTCGGTGTAAAATTTTCTCAAAGCGTTAGCAGCTTTTTCCGACAAAGCATTAGAGGAGGGTGAGGACGCGATTCGAGTCCGTACTGCGTTCCACACAGGACCACTGTCGCGCGCGGAACACCCTGCGGTGGCTTTTGCCTAAGCAAAGCAGGCGGAAGAAAGATTTGCGGCGTGCTGACGTGTTAAGACAAGTCAAAATCAATATAGCGCTGGAGACCACAGGTGAAAAGACTGTCTTCTACAAGAGCTTAATTTCCTCATCACTCTAGCCTTAAAATATCAGTTCTCCTTTCCCAGTTTCTTAGCCAAAATGCACTAAGTTTTTCCCTCTAAAACTCCACAGTGAAGTTGTCCACTTTTTCTCCGTTATTTAAGAAACTGTCCCGTTTGCAAAACCCCTTTTTTCAAAAGCTTACTGAAGAAAGTCACAGTATCCCCTCCTCCTTCAATGTACTTCCAGTCAGTGTGCTCACAGTGTCCCCCTCATCTTTCGTGCCAAAACCGCAGAGCCCGGCGTACGTTGGTTCGAAAGATTATGGAAGACTAAGCTCTCCGCAGAATGCAGAAAGAATATGGGATTCGTGATTAGCACCTCAGAAAACCCCCAGACCAAATTTCAGCCAAAACTGAATTGACTCTTTTAAATATACCCACCGTTGCCCCACCAAATGACGTTTTTGTGAAAAAAAGTGTAATATTTGTGATCCCCATCGAACAAATCTCAGCCAAAATTCACGACTTCGAAATTTAGGGCCGCGGACACAAGGATAGCACCGTTCGAACTTCCCCGCAAGCACTCAGATAATCGCCGGGGCAGGCGGTCCTCAAATTCGCGCTTTTCTGCAAGCGGTCAGCAGAATTTTAAGGCGTGGCCAAACCTTCAGTAGGCGGCACTTCCTTTACGGTCGCATTCTGCCAGCGGCAGCAATACAGCATTTTCTGCAAGCGCTTGGCAAATAATTTCTTTTAGCGAGTGCTGGCCAAACTTTCAGCAAGCGCTCGGACTCTTTATACGCAGTTTCGGGCGTACGCCGAGAAAAGGTGAGACTCTATGTAGCGTGTCATCGATAGTTTGATTAGCCAAGCTTGGGGTACCTTCTTCCAACGGAAGGCACCCTGGGCAGTGCAGTCCTCCACAAAGGACCGTGCGGCCCCAACGGCCCCCTATTCTCGCGGAAAGACCGCGAGAGTGCGGTTACTGTGCCGCAACTTATCCACGGAAAGACCGCGATAGTTCTTCAAGCGTTCGTCCAAAAATTGGCCAAAATTATTCCAGATTTCTGCAAGCGGACCGGAAGAAATCAGCAAACTATTTTTCCGGTGCCCTTGCTTAAAATTCGCATAGCCGCCTGCCCCGGCAAATATCTGAGCAAATCCAATCCAAGTAAACACCTTGTTTTCCAAAATTCTTATGCCAAAGCGCGAATCTCCTTTTTTTCTGGAAGTTCTCTCTATCTTTATTCGAAGCATGCTATGCTGCAGCCGATAAGTAACAAATGGATAATGCGCGCGGCGATCGCTTTCACGCGCAGTTCGTGCTCATCTCGTACATGCACAAGTCGAGGATCTTCATGGCGCGCTTCTGTGGTGCTTTCAACCTAAGCGAAGGCGTAAAGGTTATCTACTATTGAGGCGCGTTTGATCTGACCCATTCTCCTTGGTTTTTCTCATTCAGTTAATGGCGGTTTACGAATAGGTGTGTGATCGCTGAAGTTCAGTGAAGGAACAAGTGAATGTTAGAATTTAACCCTAGTGTCAAACTACTCATTTTTAAAATAATATGATTTCCTACAGTATTTTTCTTTTCTTTATCGCCCACGCTGTTCGATGAGATTGCGATTAAGTTGGCGCACTTGAAATGAACAGTTTATATTTGTCGTGGAGCACGCCACATCTATGGCGCATCTAGCCTAAGCAAGAGAAGGAAACGAAATCTTTTTTGCTTGTAAAGTTAGAGTGATGCAATTGGTCCACGATACGTGCTCCTGGCATTTTATCCATAATACTTATTCCAATAGTCGTCGCTCTGCAGCAGCTCTTTGGGAAAATTCTAGACTGTACTTTAATTACTTCCACAACGACTTATAATGCCAAATAACTGGAAGCATCTATATAGGCTTCTAGCGTTTTGTGAATACTCAAAGCCGCAGAAACTTCATAAGTGTGTTATCAGAACCACGAAAAAATATCATTCAAGAAGCAGCAGCGTTTTTAACCGAAACGTTAACTTTGAGCTCATAACCCACGAACCATCGAAGATGGGTCCGAGAGAATGGTACCAATAAAAAGAAGACGACAACCTCTTAAGCGAAAATGCTCTTAGATTTTTATATTTCATTCATTTTCAGGGCGAAATATGGCCTTAAAGTGGAGGTACTTTTGAGTTTTGGGACACAGATTCTTTTTATATATAAGGATCTGTGGAGAAATCAGCTGTTTTTTGGAGCCAACGTTAGGGCAAAAAGGAATTCCTGAGTGCGGAATCGAACCCGAGTCTGGCAGCTGAGAGTCGCACCCCTTAGCCACTAGACCATGGAGACTACGTTGCATCTGCAGTTTATGCGCGTCAATTGCCTTTTTTTCATCAAACTCAAAAGGGAATGGGGTACGGTGTTCAGGCTCACGCAACGAAAACGGGCGGTGCAAAAAAAGTTCACTTTTTCGTTGCTATTCTTTTATAATAGAGTGATTGTGGAGAAATCAGCTGTTTTTTGGAGCCAACGTTAGGGCAAAAAGGAATTCCTGATTGCGGAATCGAACCCGAGTCTGGCAGCTGAGAGTCGCACCCCTTAGCCACTAGACCATGGAGACTACGTTGCATCTGCAGTTTATGCGCGTCAATCGCCTTTTTTTCATCAAACTCAAAAGGGAATGGGGTACGGTGTTCAGGCTCACGCAACGAAAACGGGCGGTGCAAAAAAAGTTCACTTTTCCGTTGCTATTCTTTTATAATAGAGTGACTATTCTAGATTCAATCGCAGATTGCTCCTTCAAATGCTGTGGTAGCTAGATGAGTAAGGAACTGCCGCAGACTGCAGCGCTACTGCTATCAATGCCTGACAGCCGACTGTACACTTTAATGAACGGATGAGAAGAGGTAAGTTTTATTGTTGGTTTATGTCATCGTTTGACTGTGGAGCAGCAAGTAGTTATTCCATGAAATAACCTCAAGAAACGACTCCTGAAATTGAAAACTGAATCAGTCCATAAAAAGGCTTGTTTGTAGGTGTGGTAATCAGCCAAGGTGGTGTGCTACGGCTGATTTAAATCGAAACTAGTTCTCCGAAATGATGGATACCATGGTGAGTCTTTTTTCGATCATATTAATGCTGAGTAGACTAGTGGACTATCTATGCTCTGCATTGCCCTTCCGATTCTAAATGCTATAATTCTTTTCACAATTTCTACCATTTACACTTAAAGAAGTTCTTTATTCGGTTCCCGAATTCTCTCGATTTGCAGATCAGTTAGATTGATTTTTGCTTTATTCCACATTTTTTCCACAACAAAAGCGGTTTACGTTATTTGTTGCCCTATCACTGTCTGCTGTAGCAAACACTACACGAAAGACGGTGTTTCGTGGACAAATATCATTCGTTCGAGATTCGACAGGGTTTTCGTTGAACAATATAGTTTTTTTGATTCCCATCAAAGGTGATTTCAGGTCACGCTTTCTTCCTTCCATGAGAGGAGCTTTTCAAAAGATGTTTGCTACGCTTATCGTTGAGTCTGACCATCTAAGATCTAAGAGTTAGTTCACACTTGGCTGTACTCATAGTTTTACCACTTTGCTCAATGATCTATGATCTCTTCGCAGCGCGCCCAGCTTGTTTACGCAAACACCGTTCTCTCTTGTTGTCGCCAGTGCTAGCGTGCCTAGCCGTCTGGCAGCTATCTGACGCTCAGTTCAGCAATCGATGTTTTTCCTTGCATCGATGGTGCAGCACAATCCTACAATAACATAGCATTAGATCATTTCTCATTACCCTCATTGAGCCAAGTTTTGCTATCGGCAAGTTATTCGATTTGAAAATCGTATCCAATGCTATAAATAAAGGGTGAGTGGGAAAAAAACTTCGCAGCTGCGTCCTTTCAAAATATTACAGCGTACACCACGTCACCTTTTTCTTCTTCCGTGATGAGACAGGCATTGATTTTGTCGGAGAATCAGATATTCGCAATGCTGGGTTTGTGCGGGGAAATCTGTTCTACTTCATGTCGTATTTTTTCTTGTAGTGCTTACTTTGCCCATTCTCATTCATAATAGCCACTCTTGAACTCAAACGCATTCCAGTCGTTCACCAAACGACTTCTGTGATAATTCATTCACATGTATGATGTAATTTTAGGATGGCACTCTATCTCAGACGGTTACCTATTGGTTTATGCCAGTACCAGCGTATGATTCTCGCAAGCAGAACGTGCTCAGACAAAATGAAGCCTCCGCTTGCCAAGGTCCCTTCTGATACCTACAAGAGGATCGATGAGGTTTGAAAGTTTACTCTTTTCTGGTTCGATTCTGTTTCATTGTTTAAATGAGGATTCGTAAGCATTCGGTGAGTTACAACTTGGAAGGTATAGATGCAGTTTAATGATTTCGAGCGATTTTGCATCGATGCAATAAATCGCATAGATTTGCAAGCCAGTTTTAATCTTAAATTACAGACAGGCGGCGAGCTAGGAAGCAAGGTTCATACATCAAAGAAATTTGAGGATGATGTCAAATCGCAAAGACTTCACAGTACTGGTGGTCAAGATATTCATAGTACTGGTGGTTAGCTCTTTTCTATGCATCTTATGTGTTTTCTAGTTTTGTCATTTCCCATCAAATTCATATTTATTTCCAGGAACGCCTACTGGAGGAGATAGTGGCCTTCGCAACAAGCTGATAATGGCCGCTTCCCTGCTCCTATTCTCGTACCTAGTCTATCGCTTTTATGGGCAGTCTCAAACTCCTAACAAAGTAGCGCGTGATGCAGATTTCGGTGTAAGGAAGGAGAGGCCGGATCCAGTTCACGACAAAGTAATTCATGAGTCAGTGGACAGGGATGATCCCCGAAATAAGGGCAAAGTAACCGTAACCAACTATGGTGTCCACCCGACATCAAAAAGCGACAGGGCAGAGGAAACTGCCTCCAAGTTACTACACGGTAGTCCACCGGGCTCGACAAAACAGTAATAACAGAATACTTGGCCCAGTAGTGTTAAGTGAAAAAAGGCTGTAGAAATCAGTATGGTATCATTATCTGTCTAGCCGTAGCTACTCTCGTTTTCTCCTAGCCGATTTCGGTTGTTCAAGTTGATGATGGTGTATATATCATTTTGTGGACTTTGCATGTACAGAATAAAATATTCGAAAATACATTTCCGAATGACAAGGTTTTTCCAAATCATATCCATTCGAGAAATTTGTTAGATCTCGGAAAGAGTAAATTAGTATTGCTAAGTAGACAGTGTCTGTAATCTATGATCAGCTTCTTGCGACAATAACACTAAGTGCGATTACATTTGATTTCCAAAGTTCAAGGTTAGGTTGCAAAATCAAAGCTATGGTGGTCGCATTATGATCACTAGATTTGGGAGTATACATGAAAACTCCTTTTCTGTACAGGAGCATATTGTTCCGAACTCAGAAATTTCATTTTATATTCACTTGTACTGATGTCTTTTCGTGTTGGAGATTGTATGCTCAAGGATTTCATAGGCGACCAAATTCAGTGTGTTTTCTGCCTAGCGCAGCACAGGAGCTCGCATGCAGACGGAACCTAGTGTGCCAGTACGATCATTGATGATGGCAGGAGTAGAAGAAAGTAACGGAAAAAACATTGTGGTAATATTTGCTTTGATTTGCCCACGAATTTTTCTCTGTTTTGTTGTTTGGAATTTTTTTTTGTTTTTTTTGTGTATCTCAATAACGATAATTATTTTGTTGAGCAGAGTTGTGGAATGTGAACTTTTCGTTAGAACATGCGTATAGTTACACTTACCAGGTTGTCGTATACTTCGCTGCAGAGTTTTCATTGGGTCCGGCGCATTTTTCCAATCTAGTTCGTCTTTTCCGAAGCATGCTGAACAGCGCTGCGTCTCCTACTTTACTTCTCCAACACCGATGCTTCGGCGTCTCTCAGCGTCCCCATTGTTTATGTTTACGATGCCTCTCATGCCTCGCTGTCTGCTGCTTCTATCGTCGGTCTGTTTATCCATGCACATCTATCGATGCACTCACCTGCATCGATGAAGCAGCACAAATCTAGCATTAACATTAGTTGAATGAAGTTTTATCACTCCCTTTCATCACCGACAAAGAATACTTTAGCTTGGATGTTTTCGCGATAGTTGGTATTCCTTTGAACAAAATGTTTAGATTGAAAGAAATCATAGCTGCTTATACGATACTACATCAAGGTATTCTCTATATTGGAATCTTCTTGATTTTTTTTGCTAAAAATCAAGTTGCAAGTTAGATTGGATTGGAAATATGTTTTCTTTGGATGTAGTTCTCACGCTCACATTGCCAGTTCTTGCTCACATGTTACAAGGCTTGAGCTAAAATTTGATGTACGATTCCATTTTCGCGGACTTTTGTTGACTTCTACCAAATGCACAATGCGATTCCAGGATGGTACTCCGTCTTACGCGGCTACCTGTTGGCCTGATGTTCCGATACCAGCGCATCATTCTTTCTAGCAGAACATGCTCAGACAAGATTTCTGATCCTTACAAGCGCGTTGGCCAGGTTTGTATTTTTTTTCTGCATAGTCTACAAAAAAATGCTTTCTACAGAGAAAATCCGAAAACAGTCGGTAATGGTCGTTGAATGTCCAGGCGGAATATTTGACATGAAAAAAAGTCGATTTAATATCTTTGCATCGATGCAATAATTTTGATTTTGATTTTGCATCGATGCAGTAAATCGCATAGGTTTGCATGCCAGTTCTAATCGTGAATTACAGACAGGCGGCGAGCAAGGAAGCAAGGTTCATACATCAAAGAAATTTGAGGATGATGTCAAATCGCAAAGACTTCACAGTGATGGTGGTCAAGAGATTCATAGTACTGGTGGTGAGCTCTTTTCTATGCGTCTCATGTATTTTTTATTTAGTTCTGTCTTTCCCAAATTCCATATTTATTTCCAGGAACGCCTACTGGAGGAGATAGTGGTCTTCGCAACAAGCTGATAATGGCCGCTTCCCTGCTCCTGTTCTCGTATCTAGTCTATCGCTTTTACAGCCAGTCTAAACCTCCTCACAAAGCAGTGCGTGAAGCAGAATTCGGTGTAAGAGACGCGAAGAAAGATGGTACTCACAACAAGATATGGCATGATAATGACAAGGTTGATCCTCCGAATGAGGGCAAAGTATCCGTAACTAACTATGGGATACATCCCATGTCAAAAAGCGACAAGGCAGACGAGGTTGCCACTAACTTACTCCACGGCAGTCCACCGGGCTCGACAAAACAGTGATGATACAGTGCGTGGCTTTTTTAGAGTTGGATCTAAAAAGGCTGTAGAGCTCAGTTTGGAACCATTGTCTGTCTAGCTGTCTCTCATTTTCTCTTCTTCAGTTGTTCAACTTGATGAGGTGTATATATTAATGTTGGTGAACTTTGCATGTACAGAATAAAATATTTCAAATACGTTCTTGGAATTACAAGGTTTCTTCCAAATCATATCCATTCGAGTAGGAATCTTCTCGGAAAGCAAAGATTCAATATTCCTAAGGTAGCGTGTTCTGTAATCTATGATCAGCTTCTTCCGACAACAACACTAAGTGCAATACATTAGAGTTCCAATGTTCAAGGTTTTTTGGAAAATAAAGTGTGCGACTCAGGTACTCAGGACCGAGTATACGTGAACATACTTTCTTCGCTCTGGGTACATTGCTCCAAACTCAGAAACTTCAACTGGTTTGCTTGAATAAGCATCGATGAAGTATCTGTCATATTTTCAGCTGGAGTTTGCATGTTCAGAATTAGGCGAATCAACTTCGGCGTATTGCTGGTCTTCTTCCTTCCGTAGATGCTTCCGCATAGACGCTCGAATACAGCGAATAACATAATATGTGAGCTAGTGCGATCAGTGACGATGGCAGGAGAGGAAGAAAAAATGATAGGAAGAAAAAAATAGCGGTAATATTCGCTTTTTTCTGGAACATAGTATATCTTTTTTACGTAAGAATATGAGAATGGATTTTTCTATTTGATGCTGTTTGAATTTTTGCTTTGATTTCTCTTGTAGAATTTGTGATAAGGATAATCATTTTCTTCAGCCGAAATTTTGTGGAATGCAAGAACTTTGAAACATGCGTATAGCAATTACCCAGGATTTCCGTTCGGAAGGGCGGGGGGGGGGGGGAGTTCTGTGGCCGTATTCATCAACGAACCCTGAGGGTTAAATTAACCCCCAGGGTTAGTTTAACCCTCAGGGTTCATTGGCCGTATTCATCAACCATAGGAAGGGTTTGCCACCGAACGCAATCCACCCGTATCGATCAACGACCCTGTGGCCGTAATCATCAACGAACCCTGTGGTTGATGAATACGGCCAATAAACCCTGAGGGTTAAACTAACCCTGAGGATAAAAGCGTCAGTTACGCGTGCGCTGTGCAAACTCACATCACAGAATCCTAAGTACGTGCTAAATTCACTTTATACTTCTATTCTTGCACTGTTATAGTAGTATAGTATAATCAACGAATAAGCTTCTAACACTAGTTTTTATAATACATCTCTAGCGTATTTGTGCAGCATCCAAACTTACAGCGTGAGTATATTTTCATGTGTGCAATTGTGTCGTGTAAGTTCTACTTTTGCGCAGTTCGTTTTATACCGGGCTTGTGCTACTCTTTTAGGGGTCAGTGCGTGTTATCATAAAGTGGTTCTTCTGTTTCAGCACTTGTCAAAGTGGAATGCGCAACCATTTTTCCTCGTCGCATTCATTTGTCACCAAAGCTAGAATTCATTTTCTCGCGAACAGTGTTTCATGTACTTCGAATTGGAACATAAAACGAAGTCGAACCTAAATAGTATAACAACAATCTAATACTGAATACTACAATACTCGTTGATCGCTTTTTATAAAACTATTAGATGCGAGTAAATGCTTGTATGAAGTGTCAGGGTAGAGTTAACCTTGTTCTAAGCTAGGGTTAAATTAACCCTGATGAATCACGTAAGTTCAACCCTCCAGGGTTAGTTTAACCCTCACTATTCGTTGATGAATACGGGTTAGTCGCTTTCGGGGTAAAATTAACCCTCAAGGTTAGATTTAACCCTCAGGGTTAAGCTTACCCTGTGTTTCATGAATACGAGTTAATCGCTCTCCAGGGTTAAATTAACCCTGCAGGGTTAGTTTAACCCTCAGGGTTCGTTGATGAATACGGCCACTGATGAAAGTGCCGCACTCCGAAAAGTTTTTGGTATGCTTCTTGAAATTTTCGCGGGCCCATAGCCCCGAAATTCCAGAAAAAGAGGGCGTGTTGTCAGCCACGCCCCCGAAAAAACTTTTTGGGCAAAGTGGTCTCTTAAAAATTCAAAAAATTATTTTAATTAATTACAAGTATAAACTAGTCACTTGCAATTTTTATAATTCATCTAAGTAACTTTTGAATTTTCGCGACTCATTCTCGAGGGACGATTTGACACTGGTATATAATTATAGTTTATCGTGTTGTCAAAAGTTTCGTTGCAAAGTTCTCATTGAGTCCGAAGAATTTTCAAATCTAACTATCATTTTTTTCGAAACATACTGCACAAACTCTGCTTCTTCTTCTTTACTGCTTTGATACTGGTACTGCGGCTTTCCTCAGCGTCCCTGGTTGTTTATATTTACAACAGCCTTCGTCTGCCTCGTTGTCTGCCGCTTGTGGCATCGGTCTATGTCCGTCCGGATTCTGCGCATCTATCGATGTACTTACCTGCATCGATGAAGCTGTACACATCTAGTAATAATATATTAGTTGTATAAATTTTTGTTGCCCTTGGCACAGTCTTTCATTTCCGACAACCAACTACCTTTTTTGAGTTAGTTACTATTGCTATAAACAGGTGTTTCGAATAGAACAAAATCGTTATAGCTGCGCATCATACGATGCTACGTCAAGATTCTTCTATAACATAATCTTCTTAGTTTTTTTTGCTAAAAGTTCACCTTGCAAAGTCAAACTGCTTCGGAAATATGTCTTCATTCGATGTTCTTGTTAAGCTTGTACTTCCAGTTCTTGTTATTCTTAACAAGGTTTGGCCAAAATTTGATGTACGATCGTTTTTCGCGGACTTTGTCAATTCTGTCAATTACGTAATGCGATTTCAGGATGGCACTCCATCTAAGGCGGCTGTCTGTTGGCTTGATGTTCCGATATCAGCGCATCATTCTCTCTAGCAGAACATGCTCAGACAAGATTTCTGATGCTTACAAGCGGGTTGCCCAGGTTTGAAATTTCTTTTTTTTTTAACTTCATAGTCTTCTTGAAGAAATGCTTCCTACAGAGGAAATCCGAAAACAGTCGGAAATGGTAGTAGAATGTTCAAGCGGAATCGATCTGACATGAAAAAAAGTTGATTTAATATCTTGAAGTATAGGTTCTGGAGTGACTGTGTCCCATCTTGCATAGGTAACGCTATGCCCTTCAATTACAGAAAGGCGACATGGAGAAAAAGGATCATACATCAAAAGCTGGTTACGAGGAGGAAGTGAGGTCAGGAAGACTCCACAGCTCTACTAGTGGTGAGGTCTCTAGGATTCGCCTATCTTAATTTTCGAATTTCCCCATTCTCCCGGGCAGATGTTCAGCAGAAGAGCTTTTATGTTAAAGAATTATCGTACTCAATTCTAGGAGAACGTGTGGCACCTACTACACTGCAAAAATATTGGCTTGTAGCCACCCGACTGTATCGCAATTTAGATGATATCCCAGAATATGTTGCGTAAGTTCAACTATGTTTTCATTTCACAGCGTTTTTCAAATTTTGAACGTTTAATTGAATGCGTTTTTGATTTTCCATATGCTCTCATTTTGTAACCTGGGCTACACGTATTCGCGTTTGTGATTGTCCCAAGTTCTTGAATACTGAGATTCGTATGCAGATTGTTTGAATAAGCTCACTAGTGATAAGGTGAGTAACGTGAATCTATCCTAGAAAGAATTCCGTGGATTGCTGACTCAAGGTCAAACCCTGTAAATGTTCGTTTCAAACATCATAGGTCTGTTCTAACGCTATGCATCTGCTGTCATTTCAGAAGCAGCACTATGAATCGAATGCGCAACAGGATGCGAGGAATCATCTTTTTCACGATTGTGCTTTCCTATCTGTACGCACGGTTTTATCTCCAGTCTCATACTCATGAGAAACTAATTCGCGATAGCGCGGAGATTGCTTCAAGAAGAGACAGGACAGATGATACCCATGTTTCAAGAAGAGACAGAACAGATGATGCCCGCAACAGAGTAGTCCATGACAATGCGGGTGCATCAATAACAGATAAAATAGAGGATGCTTATAACAAGGGCACTGTTAATAGCTATGGTATACAACCCATGTCAAGTCTGCCACTAAGTTACACCGCGGAAGTGCATCGGGCTCGACAAAGTAGTGAGAGATGATGCAACGGTTGGCTCGACTCAAAGGTAAAGCAGATTATGGAGAATAGCGTGAGTCATTGTCTCTTTTATTAGAGCTACCTCTTTTAATGGCTTTCGAGTAGTTTGAATTGAATTGAATAGTTATGTGTATATTCATTGTGGAGATCATCTGTACAGAATAAAGTTGTTTTCATATCTTCCTAATGTTTAACAAGGCATCGCCACATACCCAATTGTGTAGTAGCCGTAGCTTGGAACTATTATTCAGTTTCAAAATGATCACATTAAGCAGTACGTTCAGTATTATCCAGATAGGTGGGGTAGGGAAACATTGCTCGAAGCAGGGCTTGGCATAGCTGGCACCGAGTCAAGCTGGATATCGTTCTTGAGATGAAAAGCAAAGAGGCAGTGGCGGACCGAAAGGCCCCCCCCCCTCCCGAGAATGGGTCGCGAAATTTTTTGAAAATTATTTATGTGGTTATAAAAATGTGCAAGTGACTTGTTTATTTTTCTAACGATTAAAATAATTTTTAGAAATTTTTTAAACTAAAATCAGCCTTCTAAAAAACATTTTGGAGGCCTGGCTGACGCCATGCCCCCTTTTTCCAGATTTTAGGGGTTGGGGACCCGCAAAATTTTGAGAAGCACCCCTAAAAGTTTTTCGGAATGCGTGGCTGACGCCACACCTCCATTTGAAAAAATTTTTTTGCCCCCCCCCCCCTCCACCCTCCGGACGGAAATCCTGGAACCGCCACTGCAAAGAGGATATCGTTTTCGTCTTGAAAAAACGATTTTTCTGAGTCGACGTTTCGTTTATTTGAGTGTTTTTCAGTTTAGGGTTTAGGTTCAAATGGGACTTGTTACGAAATTTTGAAGATCAAAGGAGATATCGTTTTGAAATTTCTCTGGTGCCAGCTCGTGCTAGGCCCTGGCTCAAAGACATGTCTCTTGGACTCCTAGTCTTAATTGATACTAGATATCAGGGTCATAAAAATGTGCAAGTGACTTGTTTATACTTGTAAATCTTATATATAAAGCTGAATGTCTGTTTGTCTGTATGTCTGTATGTCTGTCTGTCTGTATGTGTGTACGTATGTTCCGAATAGAAAATTCCATTTCTGAACCGATCGGGACCAAACTTAGCACACATACACTTCGGGCCCCGGCGGGTGTCATAGGCTACTTTTCGTCATCGATCGATATCGATTTTATCGATTTCTTGCAAAATTTGAGCTACGGGGCTGGGAGTTGGCACAAGGGGGTAATCGAGCATGCTGATCACCCCCGTGGGGGTGATCAGCATGCTCGCTTACACCCCTCTGCCAAATTTCAGCCCCCTAGCTCAAATTTTGCAAAAAACCAAATTAGCCTTACAAAAAATCTTTCTCCCTTTTTCTGAAATTTTGGGGTTCTAAGCCCTCGAAAATTTTAGGGAGCATGCCAAAAAAATTTTCGGAGTGCGTGGCTTACGCCACGCACCTTCATCGGAAAAAAATTTTTGTCGCCCCCCCCCCAGAGCTGGAATCCTGGGTACGCCACTGCTAGATAGCAGGCAGTCACAAATCTTTTTTTTTTGAAATCAAATATTTTCAATCTGCGATTTGAGATTCTCAAGCATTTCGGGCAGATGCATAGTATGACTCAAAATCCTTTCACTACAGTTTACGAATGCATGCAGGTAAAAACATTAGTAGGGATTCTGTAGCACGTTTTTCGCATTCTATTAGGTTGTCCGGAAATTAATGACCATTTTGAATTTCAACCGCAATAAGTCATAAACTTCTCACTTCTAAATAGGTTGCAAAGTACCAGTAAGTAGTTTGTTCGATAGAACAAAGCAAGCTCTATTAGATGGCTGTCTTGCTTTTGCCCAGCTCTGATACAGCTCGAGTTTAAGGCGAAAACTGTAAAGATTCAAATGACCGAAAAATCGAGAAAAAACGTAACTCAGTTCATAAAAATCCTACAAAAATTCCAACTTGCTCACGTAAACAATATCCACATAAAACATCTATATACGCCTTTGCCGTATATTTTCCTTTGTTAGAAATTTAGGAAAACGGAAATTTTCGTGCATTTGCCAAAGTGGTGTTGTGCCGTCCCCACATAAATAGCTGTATACTACAAACCTGTAGAAGTACAAACGTAAATTTTCAGATCTCTACAGGCTTCAGTTCCCGAGAAATTTGAATTTTAGCTTAGCCCGCCTAACTAGGGAAAGCTATATCTGGTATTTCTCGTGACTAAAGGTTGTAGAGAGCTGAAAATTTAAGTCTGTACTTCTACAGGCTTGTGGTATACAACTACCTGTGTGGGGACGGCACAGCATTACTTTGGCAAATGCACGAAAAATTCCGTTTTCATGGTTTCTAACAGAGACAAAAATACGGCAACGGCGTACATAGATGTTTCTTGTGGATAGTGTTTACGTGAGCAAGTAAGAGTTTTTGTAGGATTTTTATGAATTGGGTTACGATTTTTTCGATTTTTCGGGCTGCTGAGTCTTTTTAGGTTTTGGCTCGAAACTCGAGGTGGATGAGAGCTGTTGCAAAAGCAAGATGGCCGTCTTGTAGAGCTTGCTTTGCTCTATCAAACGGTACTTTGCAACCTATTTAAAAGTGAGAAGTTTATGACTTATTGCGGTTGAAAGTCAAAAGGGGCATTAATTTCCGGACAACCTAATAGCTTTGGAAGTCGTAGAGAATCAAGCGTTTGAGAAAGCGTCGAAAGGTAAGGACTAGGAGTTGAGCTACTGCTTCGAGGGAGATGATCTATGCAGAGCATGCGGCTGGCATATCACTCAAGTTGGCTGGCTGTCTCCTTACTCAGCGAGGAAGCAAAACCTTACTCAGCGAGGAAGCAAAAAACTACGGATTATCACAGAAACCTTTCAAAATGCCAGTGTAAGTCAGCAGAGGATCTCAATGGCAATTTTGTATGGGGTTGCTTGCTTTTTCCTGAGTCATCGAAACCGCATTCAGGCTGGGTGAGAGTATGCTACTGCGATCATTGACGATGGAAGGGGTGCAAGAAATTGTTGCGGATGAAGGAGCAGATATATAACGGTAAGGTAATTCTGTTTTCCGTTTTTTATATGAATTCTTATTCATCGCAGGTATGGGAAATCAACTTTTGTTTTCATTCATATCTATTTTTTTTCTGTGCAAAGTGGTGATTTATAACATTTGTGTTGCCGGCGAATTTTTTTTGCGTGGACTAATAGTTTCTATAATCCATGTGCTCCTCAGAGACGTTGTCGAGATTGAAAATGTCTTTAAAAAAACACTTGACTCATAGTCCATGGCGTCTTGTCGCTAAGATCTTATATGCTGAAACACTGAACCGGGTTCCATGAATTATCTTGCACCTCAAATTCTGCTATTCGTCCTACTTGCAATACTGGCCCGGCGACTCTCAGCGTCCCTGTTTGTTTACGACAGCCTCCCTGCCTCGTCGCCTGCCGTTTTCTGTCTTGAATGTTCACCGACAGCGCATGTTTTCATATGCGTTTTTTTGTTTGATATTTTTTTTTGACGGAAGGCGAGCTGAACTATGTTCGAGGGTTCACTTGTGAATGGTGACATCTTATATATAAAGCTGAATGTCTGTTTGTCTGTCTGTATGTCTGTATGTCTGTCTGTCTGTCTGTGTGTACGTATGCTCCGAATAGAAAATTCCATTTCTGAACCGATCCGGACCAAACTTGGCACACATACACTTCGGGCCCCGGCGGGTGTCATAGGCTACTTTTCGTCATCGATCGATATCGATTTTATCGATTTTTATCGATTTTTTGCTGAGTTCACCTACGGGGCTGGGAGTTGGCACAGGGGGGTAATCGAGCATGGGGATTCCGAATACAATATTGGTTTTCAGGATTATCGATTACTTTTATCGATTTTATCGATTTTTTTGCAAAGTTTGAGCTACGGGGCTGGGAGTTGGCACAGGGGGGTAATCGAGCATGGGGATTCCGAATACAATATTGGTTTTCAGGATTATCGATTACTTTTATCGATTTTATCGATTTTTTTGCAAAGTTTGAGCTACGGGGCTGGGAGTTCGCACAGGGTGGTAATCGAGCATGGGGATTTCGAATACAATATTGGTTTTCGGGATTATCGATTACTTTTATCGATTTTATCGATTTTTTTGCAAAGTTTGAGCTAGGAGGCTGGGAGTTGGCACAGGGGGGTAATCGAGCATGCTGATCATCCCCAAGGGGGGTGATCAGCATGCTCGATTACACCCCTGTGCCAAATTCCAGCCCCTAGCTCAAATTTTCAAAAAATCGATAAAATCGATAAAAGTAATGGACGATCTTGAAAACTAATATTGTATTCGTAATCTGCATGCTCGATTACCCCCTGTGCAAACTCCCAGCCCCGCAGGTCAAACTTTACAAAAAAATCGATAAAATCGATAAAAGTAATGGACGATCCTGAAAACTAATATAGTGTTCGTAATCAGCATGCTCGATTACCCCCTGTGCAAAATCCCAGCCTCGCATGTCAAAATTTACAAAAAATCGATAAAACCAATAAAAGTAATCGATAATTCTGAAAACTAATATTGTATTCGGAATCCCCATGCTCACTTCCCCCCCTGTGCCAACTCCTAGCCCTGTAGGTGAACTCTGCAAAAAAATCGATAAAAATCGGTAAAATCGACATCGATCGATAACGAAAAGTGGACTGTGACACCCGCCGGGGCCCGAAGTGTATGTGTGCCAAGTTTGGTCCGGATACGGCGGAGCCGGGTAAGCCAGCTAGTCCTCTATATTTAAAAATAAACATCTCTGAGAAAGGTGGCATTTCCTTGAACTCCGAAGTAGATCGATTCACTCGTATTTTTGTTTTTCAATGCTATCGGCAACTTTGAACTCTGATCAGCGGTGCTACCATGGCCTCAGACTATACTAATCATCATACGCGGGGGGGGGGGGGGACTGTTATCAAATCGCTACGATTTTTTTGCACGCGCAAAATGTCTACAAATGTAGACATCTTACAAATCTTTTTAGTTCACTCCGATCCTACGACATTGGATCGGAGTGAACTAAAAAGATTTGTAAGATGTCTACATTTGCTACATAGAATGATTTCATAACTCACTATCTCTTGATAGGGTTACTTGGTGCTTGGGTCAGGTCAGAAGCAATTAGCAGTGTAAGGATGTACCCACCCACAGGCGTCCCCGATGGTTAGGTCGTCATTTTTGCCTCATACTAGATCACGAGTTGCATTAGAAATTTACTACAATGCAAATAATTATCACTTTGCAATTCCATTGAAGCATGATCGTTGTCAATCTTGTTTTACTGTTTGCTTGCCTGGTTGGAACATAAACTTCCAGATGTGGTGCCTTAGATATGTGCCGTTGCGCACAGTTCTGTGCCAGAATTCACGAATACCCTTTCACAGAAGACCATTTTCGGACAAAATCTCGGATGCCTACAGTCACGCTAGACGGGTTTGTTTTACTCGATATATCTTCAGACTTTCGAACTTCCATGTCGCAGTGGCTTCAAATAAATCTATACTCTTCATATTTCGTTTTGCATTGAGATTGCTCTGAGATTTTTAAATTTTATTGTTCTAGAGACCGGCACCGAGCAAAGAGCAGAATCCTTACATGACTAGAGCCAAATATGAAGAGCAAATGAGATCTCAAAGAGCACGAAGCGTTGGTGCGGGTAGGTTCATTTTATCTGGGGTTATCGCATTAGCTTCAGAATTTTTACATCGTTTGATGCTAGCGTAAGATTCCTGTAAATTCAACTCCAGCCGTAAATTCATCTTTTACAGAACGTGGTGTGATGCCAACTCGATGGCAGAAGTTTTGTTTGGTGCTAACAAGAATGTACCGGAAGCCCAGTGATATCCCGGAGTATGTGGGGTGAGTACATAAATTTTCATACAAGTTCTTACATCAAAGTAAGGTGCATCTCAATAGAGTTCCAGTCTCCTTGATTTTTATATAAAGGAAAATGCCTTTGCAGGAACGGTACTATGAATCGGATGCATGACCGAATGCGGGTGGTCTTCATATGTATCGGTGTTGTCTGTTTCTTTGTCCTTGCCTTCTATTTTGAATCTCAGACGGCTAGCAAAATTGCGCGTGATCGTGATTCAATGGCTTCGAGGAGTAGTTAGGTGATATCGTACTTTTTGGTCAATTGATATTTTTATTTGTTATATCTGCTTTTTTGTGACCTGTCAACATATTTGATCAGGAAATGTCATCGCAGCAATTTTTCATTGATTCAAATCTTTCCAGTATCTAAAGTTAGACCCTCAACTAAATGTACCGAGGGTGTACTAATGACTGATGCCCTTTTGCATCACACTAAATGTAACTTGTATGTAATGTTGTCTTTCCCTAGGAATAGATGTTGATGGCCGTTCGAATCGGTTGGGAAGTAATATTGCTACATTTGTATGTGATCTGTTTGCATCTGTCACCGTGAGTGCTATAGTAGTGTGTACTATTCACCTCACACTTAATCCCGTTTAATTTAGATCGCAATTTTCGAAATAGATTGATCCAGATCACTGTGTGATCTGATTTGTTTGATAATATCTCTTTCGTTGTAGTACACAATTTCAAATGGAATACAGTTTTTTAATGACTTTGCGTTTCGCGGTAATGGCTTCTGCCAACGATTCTTTTTGTACAAAAAATTAAAACATAGTAGCTATGGTAAATTTACAGAATGGCTATCTGGACAGAAGTGAGAATCACAGAAGACATTGGTGTCAGTAAGGTGAGACCTTTCCGCTTGTTTATAGTACAAATTTCAATTCTCCCAAACATATTTGTGCACGGGCCTGTATCCACTTTTTCGGCTCTCATGTTATTCCAAATTATAAATACTTGAATAAATGGGCAACCATGGCGTTTTTTTTTCAGAAAATTCATAAAGAATGCAGCAAATATTGGTGACAATCATTTTTTTCCTCTTTTTCTTGACTTTTCTTCTTTCTTGGTTCTTCCTTTTTTATGGTTTCACTTTTGTTCAAAAAAAAAAATGCGAAGGACCTGACAAGTGCGCTGTTAAGGTGGAGTGCACTTTTTGCGATGATAAAAAAAACACCCTGGCTTGTCCAGATTTAGCACTTTCCCTCTTGTCAGTTGCTCTCCGCTCTTGTACTCTAGGTGCATTTATCGACAAACATTGTGGGAGGGATGAACATTCACTTCAGTGGGGCTACTACACGCCGAAATCGCGTACTTCACATCTGCTCTTAATCGATACCTCACACTTTTTAACTTATTGAATTATTTGGTTCTGATTTACTTAATACCATCAGTAAGCCTAAACCTGAACCAAATAACCTTCGTTTATTGCAATTTCTCTGAAGCTTGATCTCTTTGATTATTTGGAAACCAGTCCTACTCCTTCGTTCTTATCATGGATGAGATGTTGGCTGGTCTTTTCTTTTTGAGTAGGAGAAAGCTTGCGATTTGTGCAGAAGTCGAATCCAAAACTTTGGTCGTAAAACTATCGTTTCTTAACTGCATCATTATTAGTGTTTTTTTATATTTTTGTTTGTCAATCGGCATCTCGATGCCGATTGACAAACAAAAATATATAAAGTCCGATTGGAATAGCATAAGTTTACTTTCTTGTAAAACGAGAATTCCTTTTTTAGGATGTCACTGTCTCTAAAACGCCTACCCTCATGCATTCTCCTCTCTCGATATTCCCGCACTTGTCTGTCCTTCCGGGGTATATCAGACAGAATTTCCAATGCGTACAATAATACTCTCCAGGTAAGATTTCTCCGTGCTAATCCAAATTTAGACAAAGCTGTGTGCGTAATGAGAGTAATACTCTTATTTTACCACCACATTTTAAATTGGGGCTAACTGGTTATTTTTCTGAGATGGGGAACCACCCAGTAGCAGTATTTTGAACAGCTTCAAAATATTAGACAATGTTTGTCACGACATAGTATGTTGTGGTATTCATGAGCACATGATCTACTATAATGGAATATATTGTCTTAGTACGAAGTGATGAAAGTTCTGTCTCATCAGCAAACAAGATGAACATCCAGCGAACATCATTGATGCAATATTCGTATGTTCGCTCAATTAATCGTTCCAAACTTCATAACTTTCATCTGCAGAGGCAAGGACAGGCTTTGAAAGAAGGTGGAGGAGCCTACATGACGAAGTCAAGATTTTTGGAGGAAATGCAACATCAGAGAGTTCAGGATGTCGGTGCTGGTGAGTTTTTTCACAAATGTGTTTATGCCTGGCAGTCCACTGTTTTTGTTTTCTTCCATTACGTCAATGTCGTCGCATGATGTACATTTGTAGATGGTCTTTGTTTACACGTTAGCGTCAATTGTAATAGTACTTGGGGATTCTTCAAAATGAAACTGTATGCCATACAGAGCTGAAAAAAATCGATATTAGGGCGAGTTGAGAATCAGAGTTGTAGAGGACAACATAAGGACAGAGTCAAGGATCACCTGTCATTTTTTCGCGTTTCCGCTCTATGTTTCCTTTCAGAATACGGTGAGATGCCTAACAAGTGGCAGAAATTTTGCCTGGTGCTAACGCGGATGTATCATAGTCAGAGTGAAATTCCTCAATATGTTAGGTAAGTTGCTTGGAAAAAACAAATCAGTAATTCTCTACCTTCTGAATCAACGTCATTGTTGGTCGTGCTGAAACTGTATCTGAGAAGTTTTGTCGATCTTATCTGTCTTTTGACAAAGCCTACAAAAAGCGATTAAATTTGAAGATTAATGTTCAGCAGCTAGAGAGAACAACTTTGTAAACAGCGTGTGTGATACTCACAGCTTGAAAGGCCGTATTCACTCAGTGTTCTTCTCTTGAGCACATCTCTTCGGCTACTCCTGAATATAATTTTCTACACTATGTGCTACCCTTGTAGTAATCACCGACATCAAGCTTTGTTCAAGTAGTATTATTTTCTGAAGTATCATCCGCTATTTCATTCTTTTGCAGGAGTGGTACGATGAATCGCATGCACGATCGTATGCGCATCGTATTCATCGCAGTTGCAGTGGCATGCTTCTATGTGTTCTTCTTTTACATCGAACATTCGACGGCTAGCAAAATCTCCAAAGATCGTGACGATGCCATGACCAATGAGAAATCACAGTAGTCTCTGAGTGTCTTAATGGACAAAGATGACTATGAAATTGAGTACGCGTATGAATTTTCTCCTGATATATAGCAATAGTGATAATTTTCCAGTCCTTTTGTCACCGTTGCCATCTACAACACAATATTGTCATCAGTTAGACTCATATCAGGTTGGAAAGAAACGAATGTCGCATTCTGCGCTATCATATGTTGTCAGCAGGGCGGAAACAAAATAAAATGTATAGAGTACCATTCGATAGGACACGTTTGATTTATGTGGAATTTGAATTTGAAGCTAGATTTTGAAAAGAACCAAATGCCCAAAAATTGGGAAAAATTGTAACTCCGCTCAAAAAAAAACCTTACGGAACTTAAAATTGCTCAGCATAGACTGCTTACATCAGACACTCGAATGCGTAACTACTATATTTTTTGTACTGTATCTAAGAACAACCTGAAATTATTTTGCTCTTGCCAAAGCGATGCTGGGCTGTCCTCATGCACGCAAGTCTATAATTTTGACATTTGCAAGTACTACTGTAAACTTTCAATCCTTTACAAGATATCTGAGACATACCAAATTTAGAACAAATCGGAAGAGAAGTCTAAATTCGATATCTCAAAACTAATGCTGAAAATCTATGGTCATGTTTACAATGCTCACCAGATGATTTGGCGAAATCATGAAAGTCTTCTTCTCGATTTTAGCCATGAAATAACATAGTGACTAATCACATGAGTGGTCTGATCTGGATATTATAGAGCAAGTTGCGGGTTTGTGATTTTTTTGTGAGGGGATACGTTTTTTTTCGGGTTTACGCGCATTTGGAACTTTTTGGAATAACTCCATGTGAATCAAACATGCTGCGGTTGTTTGATCCCATCTTGTAGAGCTTGCTGTGCTCTGTCAAATGGTGCCCCATACTCTTTTTTTGGTATTCACCCTGCTGCGATGGATATGATAGCGGCAATACATACTTTTCTTTCTATCCTAATACAAAGCTCAGTTTTTTTCATATGCACTAATTTATTTTGAGCTAGTCGTAGTTTATATCATGGTTAGGGATACTTGATAATTATGCATTATGTTACACAGTTAATTTCATGTGATAAATGCTTGACAACTAGAACGGTTTATTTTGAGTTTTTATGGTAGAGTACCGTTTGATTCTTTTGGCAAATTGTTCTCTCATTTTTCTTGCAATTTTCTTTTTTGGCACCATCTTACTGCAGAATGGGTCTCTTCCGTAAAGTGTTTATGGCGGCTGCTGGAATTCATGAGGTATAGCATTGGGTTTGCGCATTCATCTTCTATCTTCTATGTCATTTCAGGAGCCCAAGAAAGGATCGCCTGAATGGAAAAGGGAAAATCTTTCTGCGGATCAACTGCTGCGAACTGCGGATAATGAGAACCGTTTCAGCGGGGTTAGTCCTGGTTACTTTTATTCCTGAGGTTGAGATGTCTTTTTTTACAGGAGGGCATTTTATTATTTTCTATACCAACAATTTTCAACGGGGCCATCCCTAGAGCTGGTAGTCTAAAATAGAGGTGTTTTTGTATGATTTGCTACGCGGTGCGCGGTATTTACAGTAAATCGTAATTTGATCTCATCCTAATGGTCATCAGTTTAGATACCAGCAATTCCGAGCGATATCGGCTATAGCAGCGGCAAAGAGACTGGTGGCCTCAAAAAGACTGGAGTTATCTCGCAAGCAACCAGCAATCCTGGCGTTATTTTGGGCATGGCACTCACCACTTTGGCCCTTTTGGGAATGTTCAGGTTGGTTTGCTTCAAACCACACTTCTTGTTTCCTGTCATTATGTCATGGTTCCTAAAGTATATGAAGCATTGCGCAGCATAATAAAACTATACTTTTATGGGTTTACAATATTATAAAGTCTTGCTCAGATTACAACTTTAGCGCTGTAAAGGGCAGTCGGGCGCAAATTTACTTTGTACTCAGTGGCCGTTTTTCACGCGAAAGTGTTGTGAATCGCTGGGGCAGCGTCCCAAAAGTATGTATGGGGCCCACATAGAGTCGTGACAATTGCGCGGTTGATATCACTTTTCTCATGAAGTACGGTATAGAACGAGGATTTTATCAATGCAGTATGTAAAGAAGGTTTTGAGTCATTGAGGGCAATATTTTTTCTTGGAGGAAATCAACCAGGCTAAAGCACGATCGGTGAATCGCTTAATACTCTGATCCAACTTGAGCTTTACAGTATGGTAAAAGATTAAATTCTGTAGGAAGGGGATATTAGCGATCAATAGTGTGTATTTTCATACTTTTGAAAATCCTGTAAATCTCAAGGTCATACCTCTACCTTATCCTTACTTTTTGTGTGGAGTATTTCCCATTGAATGGAGTGTTGTTTGAAATTTATCTTCACAATAAGAGATAGGGCTAAATTCCTAGCTTAGAAATCTTGAAAAAAAAAGCTTGAAATCGTATCTCATCAAGCATTTTCAGATCTTCATTTGTTGGTGACAAGATGAAAACTCAGAAATATATGCAGTACCGAATCATTGCACAGTTCTTTACTGTGACTGCACTCGTTGCTGGAGTAACGCTCTTTGGAGTCAACTATGAAGATGAGGAACACAAGAAACACAAGGAAGGAGTAGTGAGGCAGAGTCCTGAACCCCCAAATGAAGTCAGACATTGATCATAAATAGTCTTCTTAGAATAATCAATTTTGAAATAGCTTGGATCAAGCTCACCAAGCTCTTGGATTGCTCTAGAATTTTTATCTTGACACTACTCGGAAATTCTTTCGGTCACTCCATTGATACCTCTTTTGGGTTTTGCGATGATCGTTAACCTCGGTTTTGTCTGCCTTTTTAGTTGTAGTAGAAAAAAGTCAGCTTGTACGTGTAGTTATGTGATTTGCTAGCATATAACATTGCATATTCCTGTAGAGCCGCAAGTGTCCTGATCGACTTTGTTGTTGGTACTGATGAGGTTTTTGACGGTCTGTCTAGCATTTGTATTTTACAATTCGGTTTATAAAATTTTTCATTTTTGTGTTATGGCGGTTATCAGGCTTCTTTGATAAGCCATCACTTTTTCCTTATATATAATCACGGACTAATAGAAACTTGTATTTACATGCACCATTGGAGCTGCTTATCAGTGTCTTTATCTCCTCTTGCTTCTATCACAGCGTGCTGTTTATGAAATCTCTTCGAACAGCATTGCATTTTCCATCTTCCTGTGAATAACGCTTTTGAAAGTCTATTTAGTTTGGTATCAGCGTCATGATCTTCAGTTACGAGATTTGTTGCCAGAAGAGTTTGTAAATAACTTCTTAATCGTAGAATCTGCAAGCATCAATTTTTATGCATGGATTTCAATGTCTGGGTATCTCGAAAAAGAACAAGACATCGGGAGCGACCCTTCTTCTCGTTTTCTTCTACATTTTTCATCCTTGGTCAAGTAGGATTACATTGGGGGTTACTAAGTCGAGAAATTTCAGAATCTCAGATCGCATCCAATCAAGAAGAATTGGCATAATGTCTCATAATTTTCATAGTTTTTGCTACAACCGTGAACTTTTTGTGTCTCTTCTTCACTTGGTATGGTTTGGGTAACCATTGGACAGGGCAAAGCAAGCTCTACAAGATGGCTATGAAGAGTCCGTCCAAATTATAATCCACGTGAAGTTTTGAGCTGAACTTTGATAGCAGTCGAAAACGACTTTACCGCCAAAAATCGTATTTCTAGCCTAAAGAATCTTGAAAATTCCCCATTTATCCTAGTATGTGCTTGACACTTTGAACACATTTTTCGCTTTTTTTTCAAAGCTAGAAATAAAGAAAAAGAGGTACGATCACGTATTTGTACCATTTGTGAGTGCCCTAGTTCTTGAGAAAAGCTGATGTTTAGGGTAAAAAAGGTAAAAACTTACGAGACACCGTACTACTTACCATAGACTATTCGCTTGATGCACTTCCATGTTTTGAACATCGATTGATGGGCTCAACCCATCAGCATTCTGACGTTTAGCGAAGTATTTTTTCCTTCTGGGTCCAAATAGTGAAACATCTCTTCTGGGAGTGAAATGAATGGACCTCTTTCGGATTTTTTCACGCACTAATGGAAACACTCCAACTTTTTTGATATCGTGACAGTGCAAGGTCGTGATCTTTGTGCTTAACATTTGCTGACAGCTTGGATTACTGAATGCGTCACATGAGGCAGTAAAAAATTAATCAAATATATCACTAATATATTGTACTGTTCACCATGAGAAGGGCGATCACATGGTAAGCTGTACAAGATATCATAGGTTGAGAGTTCAATTTGTTTGTTCATCAGCGTGGTTCATGATGCATTTTTACGTCCGTCACCTTTGTTTCACAAAGGTACGCACAGGCCATTATGGAACGTGTCAGATAAACTTACGTTGTGGTAATGGCCTTTTCATTCTTCATCGAGTGATCGCTAATCCAGACCAAAAATGGAACTCGCTTGTTATGCGGACCTCACATGCTTCAAAGCATTGTAATTCATTGCTCACTGTATTCTCGTAATAGACCAACTACAATGACCGACAGATTAGCGGCTTATCATAAGTCATAATCGGCTGTTGCCTTTTAGGGATGCGTATGGCCTCGGGCAGAATTCACGCGATTTCATCGTCGCGATTGATCGCGACAAGAAAACTGTAACAGTATTATTGCATGCCGATCTCCTTGTATTCCGGTGTGATAGTTTTCCAACACGACTAATTATGACTATGGCTGACCATCACAGCCGAAATACAAGAAGATCGGCATGCAATGAACTCGTAACACTTGTCTTGTAGCGATAAATCGCGACGATCAAATCGCGTGAACTCTGTCCGAGACCTATCGCGTTAATTTCAGCATTTTGTAATGGAGTTCAATTTGAGAAGCATCTATCATCGGCTCCACGATTAGTGTAGAGGCGGAGTCATAGCAGCTCAAAGCGTGCCGGTTTCTAATAGTGAGAGAGTACGGCAAACAATGTTATGCCGTGGAGACTGAACAAGTTTATCATGATAATCAGGGAAACTCCGCAACCCGCCCCTATTCGAATCTTGGAGCCAATCATAGTATGACCGGGGTTCCTTTTGCACGAGAAAAGCCCTATAGCCGCGTGAGTTATCATCACTTCTGACTTGTCCTATACGTGTTCCTACGTGGTAACCACACACTTGCATAATAGTTTTTTGATGTTGAGCGTGCAAACTGTATAGCATTGGTTACTGTCTATTATCTTTGATCATTTTAGACAACCTGCATCTTTTTTTTCTTGCATTATCGTTTTTTTTCTGATTCTTTTTCCTAAAAGTCATCTGCTTGAGGGCGTGAACAAAGATCGTGATTTTGATAATAGGTTTTCTCACTTGCCAGGCTTCCCTATGCTTACTGGAGTTTGGACGGTAAGTTTTTTTTCCTAGAAATTCCATCTTGGGCTTCGTTTTCGAAAAGCTGCTACGGGTGTGTCGGAATTTGTTTCTGCTCCTTGCATTCTTTCAGATTTTTCCAACCACGTCGGATTTAACCTTTTGTCCTGAATCAGGAATTCATCCTTCATTAACACTACCAAAATCACTTCCAAAACCGCCTTGTTGTAGATTGCCAATCTCCTCTATAGCTAGGAGAGGTATTGCCATTTATGCGTGTCTATCAGGATGTGTGATAACTTTTATCGATGTTTCCATTCTTTTTCTTTCGAATAATTGGTGTGGCATCTGGTCAAATAGACTCTCACTTCTGAAACTTATTCTGCTTTATCAACTGCTTGCTTCAAATTTCCAAATCAAAGGATTTAAAGGAATTTTGAGCTTTCGGACTGGAAATTCGAGTACGTGAAAAACGCAATTCTCGCGTTTATATTATTCGCTAAGTTATTTCAGAAAACTTTACAAAGCGTCAAAAATCTGCGGCTTTTATAAAAATGCTTAGCTTACGTATATTCAGAACTGCTAGGATGTTTCAAATTTTATTTTGTATTTAAAGTGAGGGCTGGTGCATAATTGCTGGAGACTTTCAAACCACCTTATAATCTCTATCATTTAAGGCCCCGGACAGACTTCACGCGATTTGATCGTCGCGACTGAATCGCGACGACACAACTATTACAACATCATTCCATGTCGATCAACTTGCATTTCGGTTGTGATACTTTTCCAGCCCGAAATTTTTGAATGTGAAATGAAAATAAATGGAAATGTCGGCGATTGAGTCGCGACGATCAAATCGCGTGAAGTCTGTCCGGGGCCTAAGGTGACAATCATCTTTCATTGCTGCATCAAGGCATACCTCTCTATATTTTTATGTAATCAAAGACTTGTTTTGTGTGAAAATTTCAGATCAATCAAAAGTGTGTGCACCATTAGCAAAGAGAAAGTATTATACACATTTATTCTTTTGCGAGTACAGGATCTATCGAATCATACGACTACTAAAGCATTTGAGCTCTTAGACTTTCCTCATCGCTCTTCTCATGACTAATCTTCTACGCACTACTCTCGCTCTGTTACGGAAGCGTCGTTGATAGACTGCAGATTGTGCATATCCACCGCCCGCTGAAAAGGATTGTTGTAACGAACTAAGGAGTGATTACATGCAAACTTACATGGTGGTGAAATTACGGGAGGGCTAACTGGAGGTGGTGCAACAGCGTATCCTCCTCCGCTGCTTCCACCACCAGTGCTTCCGCCGCCGCCGTATCCTCCTCCAGTGCTTCCACCGCCTCCACCGCCACCGCTTGCATAGCTTCCGCCGCCAGAGCTTCCACCTCCTGTGCTTCCGCCGCCACCGTATCCTCCTCCTCCGCTGCTTCCACCACCAGTGCTTCCGCCGCCGCCGTATCCTCCTCCAGTGCTTCCACCGCCTCCTCTGCCGCCACCGCTTGCATAGCTTCCGCCGCCAGAGCTTCCACCTCCTGTGCTTCCGCCGCCACCGTATCCTCCTCCTCCGGTGCTTCCACCACCAGTGCTTCCGCCGCCGCCGTATCCTCCTCCAGTGCTTCCACCGCCTCCACTGCCGCCACCGCTTGCATAGCTTCCGCCGCCAGAGCTTCCACCTCCTGTGCTTCCGCCGCCACCGTATCCTCCTCCTCCGCTGCTTCCACCACCAGTGCTTCCGCCGCCTCCACTGCCGCCACCGCTTGCGTAGCTTCCGCCGCCGGAGCTTCCACCTCCAGTGCTTCCGCCGCCGCCGTATCCTCCTCCAGTGCTTCCACCGCCTCCACTGCCGCCACCGCTTGCATAGCTTCCGGCGCCAGAGCTTCCACCTCCTGTACTTCCGCCGCCACCGTATCCTCCTCCTCCGCTGCTTCCACCTCCTACAGCGCCGCCAGCGCTTGCGTAACTTCCGCCACCACCTCCGCTGCTTCCTCCTCCTCCTCCTCCTCCTCCTCCTCCTCCTCCTCCTCCTGTGCTTCCTCCACGTCTGTATGTGCCACCTCCGCTGCTTCCACCACCAGTGCTTCCGCCGCCTCCACTGCCACCACCGCCTGCGTAGCTTCCACTACCACCTCCGCTGCTTCCACCACCAGTGCCTCCACCGCCTCCACTGCCTCCACCGCTTGCATAGCTTCCGCCGCCAGAGCTTCCGCCGCCACCGTATCCTCCTCCTCCAGTGCTTCCGCCGCCTCCACTGCCACCACCGCCTGCGTAGCTTCCACTACCACCTCCGCTGCTTCCGCCTCCTCCGTAGCCTCCTCCTCCAGTGCCTCCACCGCCTCCACTGCCTCCACCGCTTGTATAGCTTCCGCCGCCAGAGCTTCCGCCGCCACCGTATCCTCCTCCTCCAGTGCTTCCGCCGCCTCCAGTGCCACCGCCGCCTGCATAGCTTCCGCCGCCGGAGCTTCCACCTCCTGTGCTTCCACCGCCTCCATTGCCGCCACCGCCTGCGTAGCTTCCGCCACCACCTCCGCCGCTTCCGCCTCCTCCGTAGCCACCTCCTCCTGTGCTTCCACCGCCTCCACTGCCGCCACCGCTTGCATAGCTTCCGCCGCCAGAGCTTCCGCCTCCCGTGCTTCCGCCGCCACCGTATCCTCCTCCTCCGGTGCTTCCGCCTCCTCCATATCCACCTCCACCGCCGCCGCTGCCGCCACCTCCAGATCCGCCACCAGTTGCATATCCTCCTGATGGTGGAGGTGGCGGTGGTGGGGGTGATGGGCGAAGGGGCGCGATAGGCGGTGAGACCATTGGCATTGCGGGAGGGGGTGCAACTGGAGCTGCTATTGCTTGAGAACCTCCGGGTGCAGTGGCATATCCTAGAATTGATTTTATCGTTTTTGTGAAAGAAGAGGGGTTGAAGAAAACTAACCACCGCCTCCACCGCCGCCTCCACCGCCGCCCCCGCCGCCACCGTAGCCGCCGCCTCCACTGCCTCCGCCGCCTGCTGTAATGGGTAATTTTTGATTGTTGATAGTTCCTCGCTCAAAGTAATCAATCAAGCTGGAAAAGAATGCTAGGAATTCTGAACAGTATAAATGAATTACGTAGTATAAAATGTTTCTTGTACTTGCTACTGAGAAAAAAACAACTCACCGTAGCTGCCGCCACCGCCGCCGCCTCCACCTCCGCCGCCGCCACCTCCGTAGCCGCCAGCGTTGGCGTATTGGCTGAAAATTCAAATATAGAGATGGTAATGGTATCAGTATCAAAAGTATCGAGTGACCAAGCTTCTCAAATCGGTACTCACCAAAATGCCGCGACGAGAAGACCAAGCACTGCGACTCTACGCATTGCTGGAGTGTGCTGCTTACTGTTGGCCAGCGTACTTATACTAGTCAGCAGAGGTCGTCAGCTAACTATCAAGTTCTTGTTAGCGTTGTCCAATAAAGTTTTTAGCTGTCCATTGTTACACTTTCCTTATCGAGCGCGTAAAACTGAAATGCAACAAAGTAATTAAGTAGCTTTAGCTGACTAAGGTCATACTCATTGCAACCTTTGCGCGCTGACACTAGCTGGGTACTTCTGATGTGATCGTATCATGATACAATTACGAACTGCCTCTGCGCAAACTTGGCGAATTCAAAATTTTATTTCAAGAATAGATTTAGCGGTAATTATGAGTTTACACTACAGACTGGGTTCTCTATCGATATTGTTGCTTTTTTTCTGGGGGACTCTCAGTTACATGTTCCTACCCTTATTGAGTGCGAGCTTAGCAAATTTAATATTTTACTCAAATATGAGTTCAGCGGGACTTATCAGTTTATTGCGAATTAAATTTCCTGCTGATGTTGTTACTTGAAAAACTCAAAATTATCTTCATAGGATGATATGGTCAGCTACTTGTTTCCATCTCTATCAAACGGCTTTTCCAATGGTTGTATTTTTAGAGCAATCGTTGCGATTTCGCTATTTTATTTTTCTGCTGTTATTATTTTCGTCCTGAAAAAAGTCTGAAAATCATTAGACCACGTTTTGGAGGGAATTATTAGTAGAAATTAGTTTTGGAACGGAAAAAATAATAGTATATGCAAAAGAGATGTAGTATAGTACAGTAGGATGAGCGAAATTACTCTAGACCCCTCCAAACTGTGAAGTAGTGACATGAAAAGAAGCCTCAAAATATTGCTTGGTATCACTTCCTCTTGCAGATGCTATTAGGCTCAATTTTCCTAATTTTTAACTCAAAACTGGCTGCATCGGACTGCAGCATTCAAATAAGCGCAGTTACTTATCGGACACATTTTATAGGATACATTATAACTATAATAATAAAAAGAAAAATACGCCGTATAGGTCATTCATAAAATCGTGACGACGGATTCGACCACGGTCTTTGCGCCCACAGGAGGATAAAACACTCATACAAAAAGGCATCACCTCAACGCTTAGCTCATTCACTTCCAGTGTCCAAATAATATCATATGGAAGCTGAAAAACCATTCGAGCAGAGACGAAAACCAGGAAAATGCGGTCGCCGGGAGTTGCGTGCGCGTCGCGAGCGGTCGAGCCATCGTCACAATTTTTCGAATGCCCTATAGCCTCCATTTGCACGCAGTTTCGGAAACAATGAACGAAAATAATTAGCAGGGTAATCAGTATTATTCTCATTCGTGCACCTGTTATAGTTGATAAGTCTTACACTAAAAACTACGAAATCGTCTAATGCTTATTAATTATTTCCAAGTTTGTAATTGACCATCTTTTCATCTTTCCACGCGCAATCATTGATCATATTTTTTGTGAAAAACTGACAAAAATTGAAAATCGATTTTAGGTTCTATGATTCAACGGGTTGCTATATGGGTGGCAGTGGTTGCCCTCATTGCTTACACGATAGAATTATGCTACTACCGAGCAGATGTAGAGTTACATATTGATGGTGAAAATGATGAAGCATTTGATGCTGTAAAAGAGGCATTCAGGCGAGTTGTAGCTATATTTTTCTAAAAATGATTGCAAGATGGGTTGTCTGATGCCGTTCTATCGGCTTTATATGTTAGCTGGAAGAAAAAATAAAATTTTAAAATTAAAATTTTATAAAAATGCGCTAAAATTTTTTCTAACAAGGGAAGTTCACTTAGTCGAAGTGGCGATTCGGAAGAAGATCTATACCAGTGGATAGAGCTCAAAAAGCTGATCTTAGATATACCTTCTATATCTACGATGCATTGTTCTAAAAAAAGTTACGAGCTTTTCTAAAGCAAAATTTAGTGCATTTTGAGTTGCAAAATCAAGCTAATCTCTACACAAAAGTGTGCAAGCTTAAGCAAACCACCTAGTAAGCATTCTAGGTCTAAGTCGAGTTCATCCGAACGCTTTCGAGTGATTTTCGACCGTGTTGTTCATCTACAGGTCGTCATTTCATTCCTAAATCACACTTCCATTATGTGTATAAAAAAGCCCCATAACCTCCATCTAGAAAAACGCGTCGCGTCGGGAACTTTTTGGAAACCACCAATGGATAGAACGTAAAACGATTTCTCAAATATATCTTTAATATCTGCGACGCGTTCTTCTAGATGGAGGTTATGGCTTTTTTGTATATATAATGGAAGTGTGATTCAGGAAGGAAATTGCGACCTATGGATAAACAGCATGGTCGGAAAACACTCGAAAACGTTCGGATGAACTCGAAGTAGACCTACAATGCTTACCAAGTGGTTTGCTTGAGCTTGCATACTTTTGTATAACGATTACTATAATTTTGCGACTCAAAATGTACGAAAATTTGGCTTTAAAAATGCTCATAACATTTTTCAGAACAATGCGTCGCAGATATAGAAGGTATATCTGAGATCAGCTTTTTGAGCTCTATCCATTGGTGTAGACCTCCTTTCAAATCGCCATTTCGACTAAGTGAACTTCCCATGTAAGCCATTCATTCCATCTGCAGTCTATCAAGCAACTTCTCCATGAAATCAATTTAGTGCGAATTTTCTGGAAGGATGGGAACGTGGTGGTGCTTCTTTTGTGGTATACCACAATGGCAAAAAAGTTGTTGACATCTGGGGTGGATATGCAGATGCAGAAAGTGAAAGATTATGGAAGAAAGACACTCTCAACGTTGCTTTCTCTTCAACAAAGGTGTCATACTGATTTTATTAACAAGTACAATTGCAGTGACACATCATATGTCTAGGCATTCGCTGCTCTTTGCGTTGCCAAGCTTGTAGATCGTGGATATCTCAAGTACGATGACCTCGTGGTAAAATATTGGCCAGAGTTTGGAAAACACGGAAAAGAAAACGTTACTGTTCGTTGGTTACTTAGCCACAGAGTGAGTGCCTTATAATTGTGCACTTTTTACTGAAATGAAAAGTGCAGGAGGATTAGTTTTGAGATTTTCGGCTGGTTTGGCTTACACCGATAGGAAGATACACTTCCCCATAGCAAACGATTGGAAAGCTATTGGTGAAGTTTTCGAAGAGCAGGTAAGTCTCTATTGTCAGGCTTGTTCGAGCTGAAATTTTCTCTCAGGTCCCAAATTGGCCTCCAGGAACTCAGATAGGCTATCATGCTATCACTTATGGCTGGCTTGTCGATCAGATCATTAGAAGAGTTGATCCGCAGCACCGCTCTGTTGGTGTGTTCTTCAAGGAAGAGTTCGCGGACAAGTATAGTAAGTTTTTCGGACCGTAGATTTCTGTAGTCTTTGCTCTCTTGCAAATTACTCATATTTCGCAGATCTCGACTTTTACATTGGACTTCCAAAATGTGAATCGCAACGAGTTTCTCGTTTGACGCTGCCATCTGCTTACAACTTTATGGAGGAATATCTTTATAGGCCTTCTGATTTTGACGTCACTCGGTCTGTCGTCACTTTTCAAATCTTTTCGTATTATCCCGAGAAAAGTGGATTCAGAGAGTATTTTCAGGTTTGTTTACCATATGGCAACTGACGGCCTACTGTCAAAAGTCGGCCATAACGTTCCTTGGATTGCTTTCATGAAGGTAAGTTTTTAGTATCAATGGCTACCATAGAGGGAGTGTCCTATAATTGTGCATTTTTCTTCGATGTGAAAAGCATTATTCAGTCAAAATTGATTACCATAGTTTCATTGGTAATCTTTAGAGGATGACATTGAATAATCCGGATTTGTATGGTATTGAACAAGCTGCGGTTCTCGGAATTGGTACTTCTCGTGCCATGGCTGAATTATTCGAACGATTTCGGTGAATTTTTTCCTAACGTTCTTTGCTTCCAACTATCGGTCCGTAAAGAAAACACTCCTAGAATATACTATGCTTCAATTTATATCGAAGACTGTTTCAGGTTAGGAGAATTAGTGAGCCCAGCTACTTTTAAAGAATTAACAACCAATTTTTTGCAACAACGGGACATCGTCACTGGCGCAAATGTACCTAGAGGGCCTGGCTTTATGATCAAAAAATTCGTGCATAACAACGTAAGTTTTCTGAAGATGTAAAATACAGTAAAGTTTTATTGTTTCCATCTGTTGTGTTTGTGCCAGCTTTTTACCAAAAAAAGTCCGGGAACTGAGGACTCAACTAATTGAGGCAACATCATTTTCGTAGTATTTATAAGTCGTCAAAAGTAAACATAAACGTCTTTGGCTTTCGAGCATAATGTGTATTGGTTTAGGTGATAGTTGAACTTCTTGGGCATGCTGGCTATGGAGGACAGAATGTGAGAGTAGATCTGAAGAACAATATAACTTTTGCTTACATGAGCAATGGACTGAAGGTACAAAACATATATTTCTTCGTTTCTGTATCGAAAGAGGAAGTATGTTGTTTTTAGGTCGGATTCGGTGACACAGCTAGAACCTACACTCGTCTACTTGACGCCTTATACGATGTGATTTTACCGTCGCAATAGATATTGTATTACTTATCATTTTTTTTGTATGTGTCATATGAATAGTTGCAAAACTTCTGTGATACTGTTTATCCATTGTGAATGATTTGAACAGAAAGTGACAAAGAAGGTTGGCTTATTGCATCGCTGAACTAATTTGTGAATTTTTTTCGTTTCGGTCACAACAACTGCACTAACATAAGATGATTGCTAGCAAAAACACTGTCTGTTGTCGCTCGATCTATAATAGAACAAAATGAATGTGGCTATTTTGTGCTATGCTTGGTCTGTGTTGCTATACTCACCCTTGATGTTTCATACATCCCCATGTGAATAGCGTTTGATTGCTATTCTTTAAGCTTCATACTCTAAGCTTCAAAATTTATATTCAAACGCTTTCGGAAAATAAAGGAATACTGCTCTCCATCGTAGTTCCTCTTCACTCCTTTCTTCGGTCTAACTTTTCAAGGAAAAAATGGTCTGCGAGAATAATTTTGAGAAAGACGGCAGTTTAGCAATTACAGACTCAAGGTTTTGTTTTTGAACCCGCTAAGTGCGATTTTCGAGGAACATCCAGTAGAAAAAAGAATATTATTATGTTTTGTTAGGAAATGTTTCAAGGATCGCCATAATAAAGTGTATTGTGTCTGATAAAGTCTCATTATTTTTGATAACCGTTTATAGTATCAACGTTGGGATTCATCAAGTGTTGAGAAGAATATGATACGGTAATTTCACGCTATCTGGACTTATTTATTCGAAAAAAAAAGCAACAATGTTGCTTTTATATTCGCATCATGGTTAGTCTCAACTTTATAAAAAAAGTGTCAACCTCTAGCCACCCTCAGAAATTACTTTTGTTGCTTACTTATCAAAATGAGTTTCTTATTCATCAAGATTCACCTTCCGTTTCCATTTGCACAGTTTAAAAAACAACATCAATAATCAAGTCGCTTTTGCGCAAAATAGAGTGCTAAATTTTAGCATCGCTTAATCTTGATTGCTGCTGAAAGAGATTAAGATCTTCCAATAAACGTTTTGGGCTGTTTTACTTTGATAAAAAACACACAATTTTGAAGTTTTAGATGTTCTCGTACCTCGCCGAAAATGATTTAGAAAATCATGTCAAATTGAAACAAAAGTCTTAGTTTTTAGGTAAGTGAGCGTGGAAGGTAGACAGTCTTCAATAGAGATGTGATAGACCTACTCCAAACTAATGCGCATGTTTTATGCAAACTCTTTTCAGAATGGGTCCTGGTAAAGAAGAGCACCATATTATTGATCTAAGTTTTTGAGACACACTTATTGTCAAAACCGACCTAATCACAAATGATATCAACTCGCGACGCAGTATCTGTGGAAATTAGCATGTGTGAATTGAGAGTTCATTTTACTCACCATTCCACATCGGACAGTCGCTCTATATTGCTAGTTCTGCGGTAAACTAAGGTATGAGAACATGTTTCAGGTCCGAAGGCTTAGTAGAGGTTGAAGCAATGATCTTGCGCCAATCTTTCTATGGAAGGCCAGAGATCTCAATCTCTTTGTTGCACTCTCTCTGCATCGTCATCATCCGTCTAGTCACACCCACGGTATGAGATGTAGAAAATTTACTAGGCCAAAAAGGGATTAGAGATTGCTTTGATAGGCTAAAAAAGCGTATCTTGCATAGCAAACAAAGTTGACACTTATAAGCGTTCGATATAGGTTGAGATGTATCTGGAGCTGCTATGGGCAGTGACAAAGCTGATCGTTGGTTTACTAGCGATGATAGTTGCGTCTACGATACTGATACTTAAACTAAAGGAAAGAAGACGTCGGCCAGTTACAACTGACGGTCGTGTACATGAGGCCTTCAAACCAGTACTCGATACATTCAGGTAATCATTGCAACTTAATAAAGGCATCAATTCCTTTTCATCATGACTTATCTTCATCTTCTCATCATTCGCGAATAACTTTGTTATTCTAAACCAGTGCGTCATCCCTGCTTCGCAGAGGCTCCCACTGATTCTAGTATCCACATACTGTCTTTGTACTCGCAAAATTATGCCTTTGAGACTTACAGTGCAACGAAGACCATCATGGACATATTGTAGACAACCACTCATTCCAAAAGCTTTTTCATGTAAGATCGGTGGATTTGGGAGGAAGAGAGTGTCCTCCAAAAGATTAAATGCGAGTTTGAATCAGTTACTGATGTTTATATTTTGATGCCAGTTTTGAATTACATGTCTGCGCAGAAATTTTTGCAAATCCTTGGATAGAACATAGTCAAATCTACCATATATTATAATATTTCTTTTTGGCACCAATTTTGCGTAGAAATGGACTTTTTGCTTACTTTTTGGGCTGAAGTCAATGGTACTCGAGTTTAGTTGTTGAACAAATCCGCGACCTTGCGAAAAATCCTATTACCGACACACTTTGGCGGTCCAAAAGTTGCGTGGATTCGTTTGAGGAGCAGTTTCCATGGTTCTACTCAGTGCATCGGCTCATGTTTTGCACAGTTTACCTACACGCAGATAGGGTGCTACGACCAAAATTCTAGCCTAAAAACTTGACTGCAACTCGTTCTGTGGATTTCGGACAAACAGATATTCAGACAGACAAACAGACGTAAACAACCCTTAGTCCGTTATTATATAGGCATAATGGTCTTTTGTACATTGACTTAGTTCAGTTGAGGAAGGCGACGACGTTGGAAACCGAGCCGCCCCATATCTTTTGTGGGAAGCGCTGTTGACCCCCACAGACAAGTGTGGTGCGTGAAAGGCGCGTGACTTACTAAGGATTTTTTGGGAAAAACAGAATGGATTTGTATAGGGACGCGAGTGTTATACAAAATCAGGTGCCCCAACCGACATTTTTTTGCGGTTAATATCGGGCTGTTTTGCGAGGAACGCCATAATCTGTACACCACTGCGTCACCTCAGCTTCGCAGACGCTCGCACTGGTTCTACTAATCTATATACCTCGCTCACACTCGCATAAATGATCACTGGAGTTCACCGTGCAATGTCGACTCTCACGAATGAATTGTAAACAACCCAATTTCGCTGGCTAGAAGCCAAGTGGATCCGGCTGACGCGCAATTTCATGAGGGATCCACTTGTCGGATCTGCTTGTGCTTTTGCAAAGTTAACCTACATGTAGGGTGCTACGACCAAACCTAGCTTAGCACCTTTACTGGAACTAGCTCTATGAGTTTCGTGAGACAGACGTACAGACATACAAAAAACAGGTGTAAGCAACCACGCTATTACTCATTCATATTTCGCTGTGAGGAGGATGTGGCGTTTCAAAGCGAAGCAAAGTTGGAAAGAAGCCAAGTGTATCGCTGAAGCGCTGCTGCCGGATTTGGGACAGGAGCAGGAGAAAGAAGAGGGGGGGGGAGTAAAAAGAAGGAAATAGAGGGAGGTCGGTCTTTACCCGCTTGGTCTAGTGTTATGCGGGGCCGAAATGAATATAAGATCGTTGCTTCTATGTACTGTCCAGTTGCAACTACGATTCCTTAACCTTAAGATCGTGAAGTGCGATGTTATTCTAGACGAACTGAATAATCTTGATGAAATTGTTACGTAACGCGTCATGGGGCTGCTGGCTCGAGTGGCAATGCCGAGATGGATTGTAGGAAATGAAAGAAATTCAGGTTTACGGCGACGAAAAGAGAGAGTAATAATAATCAGTACAAACGTCTCCGGAAGCTTATGCATAGGAGGCACACAAAATACGGAGTAAGGTAAACAAGATTACAGTAGTCAATGCCCAGCGCAGAATCTTTCATCAGTTACGGCGTCCATTCTTGACGGCTGAATTTTTAGGTTCATCGCGGGCCTAAGGGCATAGCAGAATCAGTGACTAAACTGCGGCCTCACTGATGTGCCGAACACAGTCGGCACCTTTGTCGTACATTGCACTCCTGTTGAAAGTTGCATAAACATGACCTGCTTTGATATAAGTATCTGTATTGTACAAGGTATCAACTTAACCTCTATGGCTGACAACGATAGGAAACTACCACTGTTCCAATGCGGGCATCTCGCCTGACTCAATGAATCTACATGCTTAGAGTCTTGCACTCCAGATAATCTACCAAGGCGACGACTATGACAACGTCTACATAGATAAAGGTACTGCATGACGAAGGCGCAATAGCAGTATTAGTTGAGCGGGCGCAAACTTGGCGCGCGCGTATCTTTACCATTGTAAATCCTGCGCCTTATGCGCTCTTCGGCTAATAAAGCAGCGTTCGCACTCAAACGTATTGCGCCTTCGTCATGCAGCAGCCTTTATATTAGCTTGCTTACTGAAATCTTCTTGCAAATATTGTGAATTATTGTACCTCGCCGGAAAATACTAACGGAGATGCTCATTCAACTTCTCACAGGCATTATCGCAATCATAATAATCGTAATTCTTACCAAAAAGTGTAGGTTGCTTCGAATTATTAATAAATGCACTCCAGCTTGGAAGAGTGGCGCAACGTTGGAACAAGAACAGGATGACTTCCACAGGTGCACCGGAGTTTCAGCGGAGCAGTTAATCATTTTGTGGTTGATCCCTGCGGGAAAATGTAGAATGCCTGAGTTAAGACGCTACGTAATGAATTTGCGCATACTGACTGATTTAGCGTCATATGTTAAGCCATGCTAGTTATATAGATTACAGTGTCCCACTTACTAAATTCGATTAGATTGTTGTTTATCTGTCAAAATGACTTTGACATCAATCTGTATGGGTGCAGGGAATGAAGAAAGAGTACTTTGCTCCTTGCTTTGGAAGCCTTCCAGTAGGTTACTATACCAGATGTTTTGGTTCTTGATTTCCTATGTGCGAGTGAATGAAATCTTTTACCATCTTACAAACGTTTGTGCATTTCAGAAACAACTTCCGTCGTGGTTGGGAGCGCGATGGTGCGGCATTGTGCGTGTATTACCAGGTAAAATCATTAGCTGTATAGAGATTCAGTGTTGCGTCAAACTAAACTCTGGTACTTTATTACTCCAGGGAGAGTGTGTTGTTGATATATGGGGAGGATTCGCAGATAGGGAATCCGAACGAAGGTGGAGAGAAGATACATTACAGATAATTTTCAGCACTTCAAAAGTAAGTGGCATAGTAGCAAGAGAAGCTAAAGTTGCCTTGAAGGCACCGTCCACCCTAGGTTGAGAGTCTTGAGCTTTTGGCAGATTATAACCCTCTACCACCAATGCTCAAGTCGCGCAGCAAAATGTCGCTTCGGAAGCTAGAAAATCGCGGAATAGCGAAGAGGCATGAGAATCTCAAGTTGGCGCAGACTCCACCAGTAATGCTCGGTCAACTGTGCGCACCCATCCAATCAACGTTTTCATAACCGGCTTGCGGGTTTTTCGGAACGGGGATTGTCTTGTTGCAGGTTGTCGACTTCGTATTAATCAGGTACATGAGAAGAGAAGGCTCCGCGAGCAAAACATGGAAGGCAAGAAATTGGGTGGACGATGTCTTTGAAGTTCTCTGAAGTGTCTTTGGGCGTCCCTTACGAAATGAGATTTTTTTAAATGCTTGTGCGCCCATTGGAAACGCAGATTGGACATAGAAGTTGCTATGCCCACCACAGTAGGTGGAGCGGTGTCCGCGCTTTGTCTCGTCACCGTACAGGGCTCCTAAATTGCAGACGTTTGCACCAGCGGTCGCGCGACCGCTGGTGCAAACGATTCTGCAATTTAGGAGCCCTGTATACTTAATTGTGGCCTGCCTGCTCGCGGACGGTCATGAGAACTAACTGAGAAAATGATCACTTCAAACTCATCACTTGATTGCTAATTGAGTGGAGGAAGCATTTTAGGTTTTCGCCAATCCAAGGAAACTTTTGCATGACAAAATCATGCAATGCCGGAACTTCATATATGTTGTTCTCAAAAACAGTAGGTTATGTGAAACACAGAATCAAGGGATTTGGTCGAGTTTCCATTTGGTCTTCAACAAAATTTGAATTGCTGACACCAGGGTTTTAGTGGCTCTAGCTCAAAGGCAGCGTTTGGCTAAATCACAGCTTCTGCTTTTTTTCCTAACTGGGTTTATTAAATTTATTCAACATGCTTATTCTAAAAACTAAAATAAAGGAAGCGGTGACGGAAATGGGTACCAAACGCATTCACAGTTAGGCCATTATCGATTTCTTCCGTTTTGGACCATACGACTGACTGCTGCATACTTTCCCTTTTTTTCACTCACCGATGAATCGTATGGCCCGAAAGGTGTCCTATCAATTAGAGCCCTTTCTAGATGTCTTCAAACATGTGCCGGCCATGCCGTTTTGTCGTAAACTTGCAGTATCGAGAGATATGACCCACCATTGTCTTGTGGTCCGAAATAACAATGCACATACAACCCATCGGTGTATCATATTGTCGTGAATGTGTTAAAGAAGCCCTTGACTTTGAATATGTATTATAGGAAAGGCAGACAGGAGATGTCAGAGACTTAGAGACGTCGTAACCATACTCGACGTGATGTGTGTACATTGGATTAGATTAGAGCTTGTCTATATTGAGCATTTGATCGTACGATATTCCAAAATCGTAAACCTTCCTTAGAATATGCCGTAACTCACTCGGCTGTTAATGAATTGATCTGAATTTTGGTATAACGGTGTGTATACTACTACTGTCACTAGCCAAACATTAAAACGGGTCTCGCTTTCATTTGATTGTACATGGAAAATTTAAGAATTTGGAAAAAACAGTTTGGAAGCTGGAATTATTGTCCAAAATTTTCATTCATCCGCGTACTACGTTTCCAAACCAGTGTTTGTATAGAAAACTTTGCAGTTTCTCAGCTGCTTTGGAAGCAACGGGGATTCATCTATCCCTAAATGCTAAATGGCGTGAGCATTAAGGAAAAAATCTGAGCTCTCGCTGTTGAAGCAAACCCAATATCGGCCACCGCAAGCCTATCAAACTTTCGTCTTCGAAATTTTTTTTACAATGCACCATCGAATTTAGAGCCATACCATTGGATTTGCATGGCAAACGAGTCACTTTTTTACTTTCAAGTTTGAGATTTTTCCAGGAAAATGCCTGCCACACCCCTCAGCCACATAATTTTCTCAGAAGTCGTTGCTCCTCTTGTTCATTCGTAGAATTTCGATGTCTATTCGTTGAATGTGCTGCAGAAGACTTTAATTCTTACTGAGCAATGCAAAAAAACTATAGTTCTAGAAAATTCGCTCCAAGAGCGTGTGTTTGATTCCATCGTTTACGAGAAATCTCTGCTTTTTTCCCTAAAAGAATTCTAAACTTGAATCTGATGCACATGTGTTATGCGCTGTCACAACTGGTTTATCATGATGTGGGCATTCACCGCTTCTTGCAGTTCATCTTCCACACTTACAAGGATGGTATACTTGGAGAAGTGGTCATATGAAATGTGTACTGCTTTGGAGAGCATAAAGCGCTGTTCTCAAATCTGCTTTCAATATCTGCAAAGCGCTTCTGGGAGGGGGATTATATGAATTTCTTGATGCAAGAATTTGAACGCGCTACCACAATATCATTCAGACCTGTGGTCCGTAAGTTTAAATGGGGCCATGACTGCTACCAGGGTGCTTTATGCAACAGATAGCTTCAGTATATTAAAGTCATGCTAGTCATCATCCCTTTCAAGAAAGACCCCAACACCTGTTTTTGCTTAGCCAAAGCCTTGAATTTTTCACTTCAAAAGGTTCCCACAGTTCTCCCAAAAGCGTTTTGCAGATACCAAAAGCAGTTTTGAAATCAGTGTTCTATACTTTATAAGATAGTAGGCACACTTCATATGAAAACGCCACTTCTACCAAGTACCCTTCCCTTTTTAGATAATGGTTTTTTTGGAGAAAATAGCCTTCTATTGCTATAAAATACGATCAAGGATTTTCCCCTTCCCCTTCCCTACTTCAATTCGGCGGTCTCCCTTCATAGTCAGTCTAAGATGTTTGACTTTGGATATGTTACTATGAGAAAAGAGCAACCTTTTTTTTACCCGACTGTCAAATACATGCCTGAATTGTAAAATAGAGATAGTTTCCAGGTAGTTGGGGCAATTTGCGTCGCTATGCTTGTCGATCGTGGTCGCCTCAAATATTCTGACAAGATATCTTCTTTTTGGCCTGCATTCGCAAAACATGGAAAAGAGAATATAACAGTCGAAATGGTGCTATCCCATACTGTGCGTACCTTTATTTCAAAATTATCATAAATATGTACACGTGAGTTGCAGTCGGGTCTGGCTTGTCTAGATGGTAAGATTTCATACGAAGACGCTTGTGATCACGAACGCATGGCAAGATACATAGAAGAGTCGGTGAGTAATTCCAAGTTATTGGCCTGAAGTACAGTGGAGTCATTGAAGAAGCCTACTTGGGAGCCAGGAAAGGCCGTTGGATATCATGCGCTATCCTATGGTTGGCTAGTCGACCAGATCATACGGCGAACTGATGTGAAAAGAAGGGGTATAGGACAGTTTTTTAAAGAGGAAATAGCCGACAAGCATGGTTGGACCTCAAGCTGATAGCAGTAGTTTGAACACGATCATTTTTGACCTACAGGTCTTGATTTACATTTTGGGCTACCGATGGAAAAAGCATGGCGTGTTGCACGAATTACGCGACCTACAGTCATTGATCGCATTGATGAATTTGTCACTGATCCAGGTAGTCATAACTAGCATAAGTTAATCAAAAACCTTTTATAGCTCAACATGAGGCATCTGATAGCATCAACCTACTTTTTAGGCAACTTGAATTACGCCTTCGTATTCAAGCAATATCTGAAAGGAGGCCTGAGCATGAAAGTGGCAACCAATCCGCCTTGGTTGCAAACCATCTTTGTGAGTTTACTGGTGCATTCCAAGTCGATGCCCGGCATGCAGTCCTATTGTATCACCACACCTGTCTAAGCGAGGGGGGGGGACATTTCGGCATTTTGAAGGCCCTTATGCTCGAAAGTTCTGCGGCATAGGGAGCAGCGTTCCTACTTTTTAAACGGTGGCGCTCAAACATTGCTGTGGTTTCGATGGAAGGGCCTCGCTATACTCGCCACAAGGGCTTCAATGCATACGGGCATAAGCCCGTGTTGCCACACTTTGCCCCTTCCACGTAATGATGTTGATTAGTGGTTTTGCTTACTTATGATAGCCTCTCTGAAAATGATAGGACTTTCAAAAATTAAGCAAATGTCGCGAGAATGAAAAAGGCACAGAAAGTTCTTTAGAACGAGGAAGTAAGAGTTATGGCAGGAAACATGAAGGAAAGGGGGGATGAGAAGTCACACAGCTACGATCACTTGCAGTAAAAGGAGTCGTTTCCTTTGCCGCGGAGACTTTCAGCAAACTGGTTGAAGAATCATATTTTGGTGTTAGTGTATCAATTAGCTTCGGATTGAAATTTGAGAAGGTGGGGATCTTTGATCAGAAACACAAGAAAAACAAGTGATGAAACTTGAGAGATTCAGACTATTCAAATTGTCTGGGCTAAGCTGCAAGGAAAAGGATCTTTTTCAGGCAGCTTTAGTACGTAATTAAGGCCCGTCTGCATTAACATCCCTGCAGTGAAAGCGTTCGCAAAAGCATCCATAACTGACTTGGCGATCTACATCTAACCTCAAATGCCGTCTCTGACTTACACCTCTCTTGCAAGTTTGCTATTTTGTGCCTATGAAATCAATAACTGCTTTTTAGAAGGTGACTCTGAACAACCCTGAAATGTATGCGTTAGAACAGCCAGCAGTACTTGGAATTGGAACAGCTCGCGACATGGCAAAACTTGCCCAGCTACTGATGGACGGCAAGCTCATCAGCCGGGTAGTATGTTTGAGTACAGAAAAGAGCACAGCGAATGAAAGAAAATTTTGTATAGCCTACTCTTGACTTGCTCAATGAGAATCTCATAATCACAAAGGACATCGTCACTGGTGCTCACGCTGAAAGAGGTCGTGGGACTACCGTTATGCATTTGAAAAGAAATGGGGTACGTTTAGACATGCTTATGCGGCTAAAATGCAATCCGATTTCTCCTTCTCTGCTTTTTTATTCGCCTCACCAAAGAAATTACAAATCAAATATTAAGTCTCACTATCGATTGATTGGTCATACTGGCTTGGGAGGCCAGAATTTGCGCTGGGATGAAGATAACAAGTTGGTGATCGCTTTTTTGAGCAATGGTTTGAAAGTGAGTTTCATTTGCGTATTGTCGAAAACACACCTTGATCAAGGTAATTCTCTTCAGTTCCAGGGTGGGCTTGGAGATCGTGCAAAGTGAGTTTCATTTGCGTATTGTCGAAAACACACCTTGATCAAGGTAATTCTCTTCAGTTCCAGGGTGGGCTTGGAGATCGTGCGAGGACATATGTGCGCTTGGTAGAGACCATATACGATTGCTTGCCAAAAATTCGAGACAACAACGTTTGGTCGACCATGGATCATAGTCGCATGATATCGGCCAAAGATTCCATAAGAACGTCATAAAAGCATTAAAAGCTGTTATGCTTTGATAACTTCTTTAAAGCTCGTCCACATATATCTCGGTCCTACCTCTGAAATAGTCCACCCGTTGTAACTAATTTCTCTTACATAGTTGTACTTTATTACACATATCGTGCGGGTTCACGGTGCTCGTAAGTTGGACCGTAATAAATGTTCGTTAAATTTTTCTTTGTGCATTTGCGTTTTGCATTCGCAGTCAAAACACATAGTATTAAATAATCAATTTATTTATATTTGCGGAGCGAATTCGGACATGCAGGGTATCTCAAAAAATGTGCACATGTTTGGTCGTCAATAATTCTCTTGCTTGTCTTTTGCCACTTTAGTTACTTTGCAGAACTGGCTTCAACTTAGGCTTACAGTACTCATCGAGTTTAGCTATTCATTGCTGCAGGATTATGGAAACTTCTAACATGCAGACCATTATGAATAGGGCGTCTGACATAATTTTTTTTCAAAAAGTCTGGAAATTGCTTAGCAAAGTTCTCACGAACGCTAATTTCACTACACAAATTATTCCGAGTTTTTTGAGCTTTACAGTGGTGTAATCACATTTCTGACGAGCAATAGGAGAATCGTTTTTACAATGTATTCCCGATGGCGTTTGAAGCTTTACAGTGAAGTACTGTTTTTATACTGAGAATCAGCAACTCTGATTAACCCAGATAAGAGTTTTTGGCTTGTTTGTTTTTATTCTGAGACAAAAAATATGCTCTCAATAACCCAAAATCCTCGAAATTCACGCCGTGGTCCTTTAGTATCGAAGAGAGATCCGTAATTCGCTCCATGCTTGAATTTATATTGAATTTCGCGTCACGAATGGTACCTGAAATTCGAAGACGTCAAAGCTAAAGAATTATAAACAATCAAACAGTGCACATTTTTTCGGACGCTCTGTAGATGTCCACTTGTCGCCGCAAAGACAAAAGCAAAAGACATTCGAAATTCGATTGCCTCCTGACTGATTAGTGAACTTTTCGAAATTGGCATGGTCAGCGATCTCAGCATTTTTATGTAGAACTAGCTGGTGCCTCGGTCTCACCCGAGACTCCAAGTTGGTTAAGCTAACAGAGCGTGTGAACTTACGCTTCTAGATTTCTTCTAATATGCGCATAAAGCGCTTCAAGGCGAATTGCCGCATCCTCCCGACATTGAGATAGAAATGGACTCTACCGCCCCTGCTTACATGATTATGGAAAAATGATCGGTTGGAGCATGAAAAGTTTTCATTCTTCTAAAATTGAGTAAACAAATCAGTAAATCGATAAAAGGGCGCAGTGAATCGTTGCGAAAAGTAGCCCTAAACCAGCGCCGGGGTCGAAAACATACGTGTGCAAAGTTTCAGCCGGATCGGTTTAGTGGCGCGCGTTTCTACGACGAACGAACGCACTTACAAAGTTTAAGTTATATATATACCAGTGCGTCACCTCTGCTTCGCAGAGGCTCGCACTGGTCTTACTTTATATGCTTTACTTGTTCTCGCCCAATGATGTCTTTGAAACTCACCGTGCAATGACGACTACCACGAATGAAATGTAAACAACTACTCATTTCAAAGGCTTTTTCAAGTGAGATCGGTAATTTCACGTGGATGGAACTTTTCGCAGAAGAACAAATGCAAATTCGATTAGGTTTTTAGACTTCTTTTGGCTTGGTAGTCGCCATAAGGACAACAATTACCGTGAGCTACATTTCTGTGCAAAAATCCTCTCAAATGGTCAGGTAAAACCACGGCGGATTGACCATTTGCGCAACCATTTCTTTTTGGCGTCGTTCTGGTAAAGTAGTAGACCTTTGGTCACTTTTTCGCCTAAAGTCCATGTCTTGCACATCAACATGCCAAACACATCCACGACTTTGCAAAAAGCGTTGATACAGATCCAATTTTGCGGGCCAGAAGCCAAGTGGATCCGTCTGACTCGCCAATTCTGATGGATCCACCCAACGAATCCGCTCGTGATTTTGTATGGTGGAGTTCTACCCTGGTAGCATGCGCTGCGCAAAATTTGGGCTCAGGACATTGGCTGGAACTCGCTCTATGAATTTCGTTACAGACAGACAGACAGACACACACAAAGTCACGTAAACACCCTTAGCCCGTTATTATAAGTTATGATATATATATATATATATATATATATATATATATATATATATATATATATATATATATATATATATATATATATATATATATATATATATATATATATATATATATATATACGCACACTTAATCTTTACAATAGCTGACAGCCATGCTCGTCCATCGCTGAAGCATACCTATGAATCTCTACTTCTTGCGAGCATCGCCACCTATACAATATACCTCAGGAAAATTTACAAATCATCAATGGCTCACAAAAGAGCTGGCAAGTCATAGCCGCGTTTCCACGCACGCATATGTTATCACTTAACTTTTCACGTGTTTTCAAAATTTCGAGGGTGTAATCATGTAATCACTTTTTAAGAAACCATCATTAAGAGCTGTTTTGGTACAATAATATAGCTTATAAATAAAGCATCAAAATAGGTGCAAGTTTTATACTCAGTACCAAAGACTCTACCTTCTTACTAAGAGCTGACAGCAGCGCGTTTGAATTTCTTGATGGCTCAAAATTTGTTAAGATAGTACATTCCTACCAAGTCCTATTGATGAAGAGCAGTTGGTTAATATTTTACACTATAAATCTAAGCTAAGCCAGCTACAGAATGATAGTATCTGAAAAGCGGCGAAGCCAGAGATACCAATAAACGAATATTGTGCACATTCTCCGAAACAACCTTGTATTGGAGAAAATGTTGAAACTGACAGGACAATTGTGAAAAATCCGAATTCGATAGCCACTCATCCCACCACATCGATAGCCACTCATACCATCTCTACTTGAGCTTTCTCAACTTATGCACACTCAAATAAGCTGTTTCCTTGCTCAAAAAAGGATGGTGCCTGAGTAAGAAACGATCAATAAACACTGAAACTTTGTGACTCATAACATTCTAAACGGAAGAACAAAAAAAAAACAAGAAACCCTGCACCTGGCCCTAATGCTTTCCCTTTCTAAACGTGCATTTACACACAGAAAGCTTTTTCAGTGCATGCCATATTACTGGCTGTGTAAAGCCCAATTATCCGTGCCATGCCTTGCTTACCTATAGTCGCGGGCAGGTTCTCGCAAGCGATAATGTCACCCCGTTTGGAATTTTTATATTATCTAAATTTTTCAATATTGCAGTGTTTGTTTGGAGTAAAAGTAGCTCCTAAGTTGTTGAGAATCACTACGCAATATATCATGATTTTCTGTACTTTCCGTACACGGTAGCAGATGGCAATCGCAGAGGTGACGAGATGTGGACACTCTTTTCGTGTATTGCAAATCGAGAAAGTGTTTTCGTCTACCAAATCTCTCGATCGTTTTTCGCGCATGATTTAATTAAGGACAAATACCGAAAATCAAACCGTCAAAACACCATCGTGTTTCGGCATATCGAACAGTCTCAAGACAATGTGCTCGCATAAGTCACGTGATCGCAAATGCATATGCAAGTCTGTGCAAAGTGTTTTTCCCCGTTTGAGATTCGAATACTGTCAACCATTACCATGAGCATTCGCCTCGTGGTGAACATTGTGTCGCATGTCTTACGCGAGTTCTACCTTTCGAAATCTTTTGTTTGTACTGGTAGAGATGGTTCGACTTCCACAGCTTAGGTTTCATTCTAGACTTTTGTTCCACTAACTTTAATATAGACGAAATCTGCTTTTTGAATGCGTTCACGTTGCTGTTTTTTTACTTTTTTCCCTTTGTACAGAGAGTGTATCGTGTGATTGACTGTTGGTCTCCTGGTAAAGCCAAGACTCTTTCTATGTAGACACTAAAGTACTGTTCGAAAAATGCTACGTTCCTCGTCAAATTGTCGAAGGAGATGCATTTTTCTTTTTAAGCTTATTCTAAAAAGACTTACTTATCGTAGACAAAAAAGCGTGTAGCTGGATCTTGCGTCAGAGGCAACGTTTTAAAGAGCAAAACGCTATTTTGAGAGATAACTACGTAACGCAAATAATTTCCGCAATTTAGTCAAAAACTTCATCTGAAGGCGTTCACTTAGAATTCTCACTTCTGCTTTAAAAAAAGAAGTACTTGTAAAACTGGGTTTCTTTGTGGAGGCGAGAGTTCGGGAAATTTCTTCTTATTGCTCTTAAATACTGATTCTCGCTGGTGATTTTATTGGGAGAAACAATCTCTTACTGTAGAAAGGGCTTGTGCAGACGAGCGTTCACTTGAAGAAATCTAACGCTTAAGTAAGTGGGTCTCGCTGGCGGAGAAGAGCATTATTTAAAGAAATATATCTTGCTCTGTAGAAATAGCGATTGAATGCTGAATCTCGTTGGTGTAGGTGAGCTTCTATTAAGGAAAACTTTCTTGTTCTGTGGAAAGGGCTAGTAGAGACGTGCGTTCACTTGAGGAAATCCAAAACTGCAGCAAAAGGGTCTCGCTAGTAAAGACAACCGTTAACTTGAGAAAATATTGCTCTTTTAGAAAAGAAAGCATGGAATAAAGGGGCCTCTCTTATAATAAATGGTTGATGGATTGGTTGATGCATGCGTTCACTTGGAGAAATCTTGCTTTTTGTAGAAAGGACAGCATATAAGTAAGCGAGTCTCGCTGGTGAAGTAAGCGTCTACTTGGAAAGATATCAAAGGCCGTAGCTCGGCAAAACCGAACATCTCGAAATTTTGATATGATAGGTTGCTTGCATCCCAAACATCGGAACAGAGCAGGTACGAGCACACTACATGCTGCCCCAGCCTTGAAAACTGCCCCTAAACCCGTGCGCGCAAGCCATTCTTACACGCGCTCGGACGAGCTTGCGGTCTCCTTCCCACTGGCAGAGGCTGCATGCTGCAATGCTTTGATCATGAGGGTCCCGAAACAACTCTACGTCTCTAACCATGGCGGAAAATGGTCCATTCGTCCAAATTCAAAACGAGAACTCTTGGAAAATGCTGGTTTTCTCGAATTTTCGTGCTCTTCAAACTGCATTTTCGAAATCAGCGCGTCGAATTACTCCAGGGCGGTATACATCAATCTCGCGTTTTGAAAGCGGGCGATCATTGAT